AATTCCATTTTTATTAATAAAAACTGACGTCATACAATATTTGAACGAGAAATGTTGAAACGACAGCTTAGAAGGTTACAGCCAACTTTCACAACTTCATACAATCCAACTTTTGAGAAAACAATGTCTTTCATACGAAACAGAACTAAAGAGGAAACAACTGCTTAGTTCTCTTAACTTATAGGAGACATGCGATGAATAAAATAATATAATATATTCTTTACTATAACCATTTTCTTGTGAGCACAACATGTTACTTGAACTCAATTCACCGGTGAATCTATATGAATTGTTCTTCGCCTCATGTATAACGTGTGTTATTTTGATAGTTTTTTCTTTGTTGAAAAAAAGCACAAATGAACAACAAAATCTTTGCAGAAAATTAAGAGAAAAATAAAAAAAGAAGGAGAGAGAGAGAGAGAGGGATGGAGGGATGGAGAGAGAGAGAGAATGAGAAAGAGCAAGCTTATGACAATGAAAAGCGAGACAGATAAAAAAAGAAAAGAAAAAGAAGATATGAAGAAGCGATAACGTAGTTTCATCGTCTTCTACACTTATTGATATTGGAGGTTTACGTTACATTTGAATTTATGAGCTATCTCTCTCTTCTTCTTATAGTCATATTCATGTTTCAGTGGCAACGTACCGGCTATCGAAACTCCTCAACCAATCTTGGCGAAAGGAACTTGTGTTCACGTTGTTGGTGTTTTTCAATCAGCAATCACCGACTCAAATAACTTAGGTATATTTTATTAGTTTTCTTTTGTATATATGTTCTGACACGTGAAGTTCCACGTGGTCGCGTGAGAATATCTCACGTAAGTCTATACGTCATTTTCATCTGTGAACACAACGCAAACGGTTGTTCTCTATCTTGTCTCTCTCTCTCTCTCTCCTTCATCATCATATAAGGATAATATTTTCAGTTTTTTCTTCGAAAATATTTTTTTTCTCCTCCGTCTCTTTTCTTACTTCATTATGCAGGTTTTCTCCTGAAAAAAACAAAAAATAAAATATTAATTTGTGTTATGAAAAGACTTTCCTTTCAATAATTCATAATTTGAAATCAGAGAAGAACAACTCTTATATTCCTCTTCTCCTTCGTATTTTCGACTTATCTCTTAGAAGGCAATGTTTTTTTTTCAGTATCATAATCCTTTTTAGTCTGTTGTTCTTCAAGCAGGTAACCTCTACCACTTCGTGAAGAACTACACCCCCACAAATGTATTTTTCGCTTCTCATTGCTTTTCCTTAACTTTTCTTCTTCTTGGTTTAAGGGAAGAAAATATCCGAACTATCCACAGTGTCAATTTGAACTTTACAATATCAAACTACATTAAGCAGATCGAGATGATTCACAAAATAAATTTTTTTTCATTTTTTCCGAACAAACCAATCGTTCATTTTTTTTCATCAAAAACTTCGAGCAGTTGGAACACCTGACGTCATTTTTCTGATTGTATTGAGTGTTTAATTGTCATTCATTGTCAAAAATTTTGAATTCAACTATGATTTTTGCTGAAGTAGATTATCTTCGTTAGTTCAAACGATTCCGAACATCTGGTCTTCTCATTCATAAACTTTATTTCAGTTTATCGTTAAAGATCTCTCATAATTTTGTTCAGGAGAACCATAATTCTTTGTTTAAAAACAATTATCAAAAACAAAAACAAAACAAAATTTTCCAAATTCAATCGATGAACAACATTTCGTTATAATAAACTTATCATTGAGTCCCTTCTAAGCTTCTCATTTTTTCGGTCTTGTGTGAAAGTTCTCTCTCCACCCACTCCCTATGAAGCATCTTTTCTCTTTTTCAAATAGGCTCTTCTCTTTCTTTTTATTTTTCTCTTTATGTATATTATCGGTCGAAGTTTAGAGACCAAGAGATTGAAATGGAAATTATCCACCAAATTCCTAGCGCCATTGATCAGCTTTTCGGCTCTACGCCAATTCGATAGAAACCTTTGAAACATTCTGATCTTTAGATGTCTTCTCGTTCCTCCTACTCTATCAATTATTGATGAGAAATATCAAGGAAAACAAGCTCTTTAATCAAAAAATTTTGTTACTTTGCCCAAAATGTTTTTTTTCTTCTAATTTTGCTGAAAATTGTAATGTTTGACTATTATGGTTTGGAGTCTAATGAGTTTCAACCGGAAGACATAGGTCTTCCCTTCAACATGTCTGACATCTTTTCACAAGACGGCTTTACAGCTGTTCTTAACCCTATTTCCCCCACCCAAACAGCTCAACCACAGCCTTTTCGTTGATTATTTTAGAAAATCCTTCTCTTCTTTTTTTCTTATTTTTCCTCATTTGCTCATAATGCCAGTTCTCCGAATGGTATTATAAGCGCCTGTATTCTGTTTGAACATACATATGTCATTTTCAGAAGTTATGAGCCATCACTCGTCCCATTCTTTCTGTTCTTCCTCCCTTCCGTTTATGCGTTTCCTTTTCCCATTATTACTTATATACTCCATATTCGACGAAAGAGCTTTCTCTACATTTCCCAAATCTGAATTTCCATTTTTTCCAACTTATTTCTGAAACACATGATACATCTGCCAATACTCTGCCAATTTTAGGCATTGAGAGAAGCCTTTATTATTCTTTTCCTGCTGCGATCTGTTACTGAAACACTCGTTTGCAATCGTTTCCAACAAAATTGCCTTTCTATCTGTTCCAACCCTTCAACACCTAGATCTCCTTTATGAAATTGTCAGTCAAAACACATTTTTGTCATATAAGAGAACATCATAATCTCTCCATTATCCGATTTCGCTTAAAACTTTTATAAGAAAAACGTTTTTTGTTCTGTTTATCTCATAAAACTTCTGACAAATGGTGGTATCCGATACTTCATCTTCGTTTCAAACAATGTTTTTCATTTCCAATTTGCCTTAGAAGACTTTTCTTTTTTTCTTTCAAAAAACTTCTTGTTCATATCATCTTACGGCCAAGCAACTTCTCCGTTCTCTTTGTTTCATCTTCTTCCTCCCTCCATCACTCCCGTCGACATTTTTTATTTCTTTTTGAAGCTCTTTTCACTCAAGAAACTTGTTTGAAACCTTATTTTGCATCTCAACCTTTTACCCTACACTGCCTTCTCAGAATTCTCATATTCTATTCTGAAAATCAAAATTAATAAGGAAATATGGATCATAAATCACAGACAAACTTCAAATAACTATGAACATTCTGTTTTTTTTTTAAAAAGAAAAACATTGTTTTCTATGTTTGGAACTTCCTTCAAACAAATGTTCCTTCTTGATCCTCTTCTCAATTTCTCATTTTGCAGCTCCAGGACAGAACCGAGAGATGCATCGTCAATACACCAACAACTCCGCTTCCTCTGAAGTAGAAGAATTTACTCAAGAAGAACTTCAGGAATTCGCTCAAGCCTTTAAGGTTTTTGTTTTTATTTTGTTAACTGTTTTCATGATCTCCGTTTGCAGATGTTTGATAAAGATGGAAATGGCACAATGAATATAAAAGAGTTAGGAGTAGCTATGAGAACATTAGGACTCAACCCCACGGAAGAGGAATTACTGAATATGGTTAATGAATATGATGTGGATGGAAATGGAAAAATAGATTTTGGAGAATTTTGTAAAATGATGAAAGAAATGAACAAGGAAACGGATCAAGAATTAATCCGATTGGCTTTCAAGTACAGCTTTTCATTGAATTTGTCTCAATTCAACATTTGCTTTCAGAGTTTTTGATAAAGATGGGAATGGATTCATAACTGCTCAAGAGTTTAAGCATTTTATGACAACCATGGGAGAGAAGTTTACAGAAGAAGAAGTTGATGAAATAATCAAAGAAGTAGATAAAGATGGAGATGAACAAGTAAGACATCAAACATGGATCATCATGAATCATAATAATCTCAGATTGATTATGAAGAGTTTGTCCAAATGATTGCTCCGATCGTATCAGAAGGAACCAAAGATGATCCATTTGCTGAACCTCCAGCTCAACCCACTAATCCTTCTCAACCTGCCACGGCAGCAGCAGCAAGTAAATAATTTTTTGTGGATCAAGTAAGAAATCTTGTTAAAACGTCAATGATTATGGTAGTTTAAGATATGTGAGCTGCTCTGAATGTGCTAAACAAGACCAAATATACGGGCTTTTCTTTAACTCTATGTCTATCTCTCCCTCCATCTCACCCTTCCTTACTCTCTCTCTCTCCCTCTCTCTCATTCTCTCATTCTCTTACATCCTCATTTCCCACTCTCTACCTGTATGCTCTCCGGTGTTTTTAAGTTTCCAAGGGGAAAAATATTTTGTCATATCTCAGTATTTGTTTGTTTTCTGTTGTCCAGCATTAGTTACAATATAGCCTTGTTCCAATTTAAGTCATTCCTTTTTTCCCTTTGAAGTTTATTACAGGCGAAGATTTCTGAGATGGAAAGCTTACCAGCGATCTCATGCCATCCCATAGTACTTCTCATGTGAACCATTCCAAAAACTGCGTAAATATAGAGATTAATAGAGATTTATATTTATTTTCTGTAAAACCAAAGAGAAATTGTCGTTTTCTCATGTTCTAATAAAACGTTTTTGACAACAATGAAAAGAAATCAAACAGCAACAGCACGAGAACATCAAACACTGTTAATCCACTTTATATACAATAACATTGGAAAAAAAAGTATTAAAAACACATCTGAAACGTCTGAAACTGAAGAAGTTTACGTAAGCTTTCTCCTCGTGTTCATTGAAGATTCCTCTTCTATAAAGTTCCTCCACAGGTTCTTTCATTGGCACGCCATTCTCGCATTTGTGAGAACTCGTTTTCCATTGTTTCTACCCGATTTAAAATTGTTATTTGATTTATTTACCGAATTGAGTATCAGTCCGAGATCACCTGGTCTGAACATACTCTCTCATCGAGAAGAATAGAGAAAAGGAATAACTAGTTATTTCCCCATTTAGATATACCTATCTGACTCTTTCGTTCACCGTGGTGATCATTTCCAGGAAGAATGACAGTTGATGTTCTTCAATCTCCCAGTCGTTCACCTAGTTCAACTAGGGATAAAACAAAGGTTCTAACAAGCGGCCTCCACTATGAAGTGAACGACATCCCGAAATGGAACTCATTGCTGTTGTTCGCGTTACAAGTTAACATAAGAATTTAATAATCTGTGTTTCAATGTTCTTCTTCAAGCAATCTCTTTTATGCATTTCTGGCTTGTTAGTCATTCCCTTCTTGGTTTCAAACATTGCTTGTGCAGGAGATCAGACCATCGCTTTAAGGTTACTTCATAACTTTCTTCAGTTCTCAATAACTTAATTTTGAAGAGTGAAGTTAATTGCAGCAACTTTCGTGACAAGTGGAATAGCAACAATCATACAAACAACATTTGGTTTAAGGTTGTTTTATAACGTGATCTCTGTTACCAACTTCCCTTGCAGACTTTGTATTCTACATGGTCCTTCATTTGCATTTTTACCGCCTCTGATAGCATTTGCAGCTCTTCCAGAAAATGAATGTAAAGTAGATTTACATACAACAGTTCCGGAAGAGATTTGGATTTCTAAAATAACAACAGTTTTAAAGAAGAGGCTGATGACAACTCAAATTTATCTTGAAGATTCAAGGATCATTATTATCAGCTGTGGCCATAATGATAGTCTTGGGTAGCACAGGACTAGTTGGAATATTTGCTCGTTATGTTGGCCCAATAACTATTACTCCTCTACTTCTCCTACTTACTATCGGAACCATTCCCACAGCTGTTCAGAAAATCGCCCTTCACTGGATTTCGGGAGTGTAAGACTGTTGATAAGATCTATCCAGTTTTCATTTTGATTTAGGGAACTGGCTCTACTAATAACTATGACGCTGTTGTTGGAAAATTTCTATCTGCCAATACCTTACTATTCTATTAAAGAAAGAAGGATGAAAATCACTCGTATGCGAGTGTTCGGACAGTTTCCAGTATGAACAATCAAAGAGTTCAAGATTACTCAAAGTATTATTGTAGTATTTGATTGGTATAAGTGCTGCATGGATTATATGTTTCATTCTCTCGAAAACTGATCTTGAACCAGTTGAAGGTGAAGCTCGAATTGACAAGAATGCTACGTTGTCAGTACTAAGTCAATCCCCATGGTTCCAAATACCTTATCCCTGTAACTCATTGTTGTTGAGTTAGAATTTCTATTTCAAATATTTTCAGTTCAGTTTGGATCGATGAAGTTTTCCACAGGGCTTTTCCTTGGTTTTCTCGCATCAACATTGGCTTGCATGATGGAAAGTATTGGCGACTATGAAATGTGCGCAAAAATAAGCCATCAAAGGCATCCACCAGTATCGAGCATCAATCGTGCTATTATTTGTGAAGGTTGGTCTGCCTGTTTGAACGCTTTAGAAGAATATAAACAACTACATTAGCATAAACTGATTTCGCATCACGTGAACATGTAAACCAAGTTGAACCACGTGGTCGTTAAACGTTATGCATTAACATTTATATAGACCAATGTTCGCGGTTGCTTAAAACTTAAAGCCTAATATATGCTGTAAAGCTTTTTGTTTAGGCGTTGGAGCTGTTCTGGCGGCAATTATGGGCGTAGGAACTGGTGTTACGACTTACGCTGAGAATATAGCAATAATGCAAATTACAAAGGTGACATTGGGTGATGACATAGCTCGTCTCAACTGCTCTGATTAAGGTTGCTAGTAGAGCAACTATGCAAGTTGCTGGGATAATTTTGATACTTCTTGGCTGTTTCACAAAATGCGCTGCAATTTTAGCATCAATCCCAGATGCTGTCGTAGGTGGAGTGTTGGCTATGGGAATGGCAATGATTATGGGTGTGGCCGTATCAAACTTACAAGTGAGCTTGAAACTACTGATAGTTCGAAACATTGTTTGCAGACCGTGGATCTTCGAGTATCTCGGAATCTAACAGTAATCGGGGTTGCCTTGTTGTTGGGTTGCGTTATTCCTGATTATATAGAAGAACATCCAATCAAAACAGGTTCTTTTCACTACGGAGTAATCAAATAATGAACTATGAAAGATAATATGACACTCAATAATGTGTTAGGCATGCTTTTGAAGATTAAAATGCTAATCGGAGGACTAATAGCATTTTTCTTAGACAATGTTGTGCCAGGTATATATTTGAATCTCTCCATAACCAAACATTTGTCTCAGGGGCAACCAAGTACCAGAGAGGGTTTCAAAGTACTGAGGAGGATAAAACTAATCTTGATTCAACGAATGATGGCTATGCCTTGCCAGAATTCATTTTAAAGTACTACTAATAACAGTTTTAAATGTAATCCTTCGAAAATTCAGATTAATTGAGCGCTTTCCTGTTCTGTCCTGTCTTCCATTTCTGCCATCACCTCGGAGATCTTTGATTGTATAATAATAAATGAATAAATTATTTTAATTAAGCTCAAGAATTACATCGTACTAGGCTTGTTAAGAAAGTACTTTCTTCGAAAAAATTGAAAAGTGTTAAAAGGTGAACATCCTCTTTTACTCTGTCAGAAAGTGATTTGGTTTTAATGAGTATACTCAACAGATCATACATCCGTTTTGCGTAATTTCCTTTAGGCGAATTATTTCTGAAACAAAATTATAAATTGGAAATTTCTTGAAAACAGAGCTCACACTAAAAGGTCATGAAGGCTATTGCAAATGTTAGTTCTAACGCCTTCAGCTAGATTCTGTAACTTTGACGAGTGAAGATTAGTAACTAAACTTGTTTGCATAAACAGAATAATGTTTGAATGTGTTATACTTCTTGAGAAGAAGAGCAAACCGTATAATGATAGGGTTTCCTCAGAAGTTAGATTGAAGGCGATCAGTTCTTCTATAAAGTTTTTCTGTTGAACAAGCCATCTTTCAGCGATTCTAAAGTAATCAAGTAAAATCTCGCTTCCCTTTCACCCGCTTAACCCCAGGACTTCATTGCTATCTTTTTGTGCAAGAGCCTTAGAATCAAATAATGTTACCAAATTGTCCATATCCACATAGTACATCATAGAAAGGAAAAAACTGTCAAAATATAGATTTACAAATGTTTTCCCATTGTTCTCTGTTACAAGTTTTTTATATCTGGGTAGCTTATCTGTTTAATCCATAAATGGCTTGTTCTTATTAGAGTGTCAAACATCCAGAACTCACAAAGAGTAGGTTGGAGGATGAGTAACTAGAACTCAATAATATGAAATCTAATGATCTAAGTCTGAACCTTCTCTTCCATGTTGCAGCTTGCGAATTCGTCAAACGATTCAGACAGAAACTCTATAATCGAAGGAACCTAACAGAATTTCGTTTTATCATATTATCGTAAAAATCACCTGAGCATGAATGGTTTCACTTATATGATTTGCAGACATAGCGTAATAAGTCTAAAAAAGGATTGTTTCTGTCATATATATGTATATCTAATTTGCCTCGTTTTCTATTGATTTGGAAACAGAGGAAACTGTAATAAGTATTCTTTCTGATGAAAGCCGTCGTTCGCATAATTTTCTAGATATCGGGATGAAATCTACATAAAACAACTTACTGATAGCTGTTATTGATGCGAGTTAAACAGGAAATATTCGAAGATATCTGAAACTAGATAGATAAATAATATCTTCTGAACCTCATCGATTGCATTTTCATGAGCTATCACATTCGGCCATTGTATTGGAGATGATGTAGATGACGAATTTGATGAAGCTGTGGAAGCTTGATGATGTCCATGGCGTAATCGCGAAGCGTCTGATAATTATTAAAATGATAGAAGATGAATGATCTTGATAATTTTACAGCCAACTTCTAAGCCAACTTGTTTGCATTTGTCGAATCTGCACTTCTGGCACATCTCCTTACGACTTGCTAAACAACATGATAGTTATGTGAATAAGCTTTTGTGCAAACTATTCAGGATACAATTGTTGGATCGCCTACGACAAACGAATTTAATCTTATTAGAGGTAATACATCTTCGATAAAAAGCTGAGCAAGCTCTACAAGCCTGTTATAAAAGAAAGGAAATAAGAACATGAAGTAAGTAACTAACCTCTAACCCCATATGCTGAGTTCCATCGTAATCACGTTCACATATTAAACACTTCTTCATCCTTCTCAATTGCACTAACGATGGGAGAGGTGAACAGGCTAGCAATGATAAGATAATTTCAATCGAAAAAATGTAGAAAAAGTCGATTGAAGTTTATGATATTTTGTGTGTTTACATAGAAACACTACAAAGATAAGACGTTGTGATTTGATCATGTAGTATGGGTCTTGAGAAGAAACAATTCCAATTTCAACAAATTATCCATGGAATACGTGAACAGAATCAATAAATCAATATTAATTTTCATTTACATGGAGGAGAAGTTGTCATCAATCATGTTTCATGTCCTCTACACTTTCAAGGAAATAACATGAGATAGGAAGAGGAATACTAATCAACTAGGGAAGTCTTTTCTTGCATCGTTCATTAACCTTTTGAACTTTCAGATATTGATCTCAATATGCTTTGATAGCATATTGTCTTGAAGTATTCGACGTTAACGTACATACTAAAGTATTGAAAACATTAAATGTAAGCTTGAAGCTTTAACTGATAGGTTTCAGAAGTTTTTTTTCGAAATTCTCGTCAAGACTAAACTAGTTATTCTCATTATTCGGTCATTTACAAAGAACTTCAGAGAATAATGATCTTAAAAGGCGGAGCCTATCATCTCAACCCATTTATACAGTACCCTTCGGGCAATTTTAATAAACTCTCGAATGAACTTGTTTGTTTTTCCGCAAATTAGCTACATCTTATTGTTTGTTTTTTAAGGTTTACAAATAAAAGTTCTTCCGTTTTTGTCTTTATATAGCATTGTGTTCTTTCTTATTTCACTTAATTTCTTCAGCAGCTCCATTATTCCAATATGTTCGTATCAGATATGTAGTTTGCGCTCCCTGTACAATTACGTGAAAAAATTCTTATTTCTCACGTGGGTTCACTTCATTCACACATTTTCATTCTTTAGTAAGCTAATACGCCGAACGGTTGTGTTTTTTCGTCCTTCTATTGTAATTAGCACGCATCCACGTCCATTATTTCCAAAGAAATCTTGAAAAATAAAATATTTGACCAAGAATAGTCTTCATGAATCGTATTCGAATGAATAGTTAGATGTTACACTCATCAAGAATGCACGAACGTTTTTGTTCCAACTTTGATTCATACTCATTGCTTATGATAATATTAGAAAGATGATTCTGATACGATGATTATCAAAATTTTATTTGAATTTTGGTATTGAACACAAGTTTGAGAACAGTTTTCCATATGTGTCTTCTGATATGTTACATTGCCTTTTTTTCAGAAGCGTATATGGTTATGAGAGAGTGTAAGATAGAAATAGAGAAAGAAAGAGAGAGAAAGAAAAAGAACTTTGTCTAAAACCGGTTGTGAGCTTTTGGAAAATATTAGATAACGATGTATATTCTTATCTGTTCCTTAATTTAATAAAATAAGTGATGCATAACACGTACAAATATGTAAATTTTATAAATTTCCGATTTTTTTTCTTAATTTGTCTTAGATCTTTCAGACTATTATCTGATGAATCATGTGTCTGTGTCTCTTATCACTCATTATTCTTTAATGCATTCATGAGATCTCCTCTTCTTAATTTTCTAAAACTAGATTGAATGTGGCTCTCACCTTTCAGCTTTTGCTATAAGCGTCATAGCTGTCGTCGTGAAGTTATTTATGTTCTTGTCTACCAAATATCGTTTGCTGCCTTTCTGTTCTCATGAACTAGAATCATTAAAAAGAAAACGAAAAACTTACATGATTTTTCAGAGAATTGACTATTAAGAACTGATCCGTCTTGCTTTTTAATAGCTTTTCTTCACTTTCATCTACTGTCAAGTTGGTTCATTCGCTTTCGATTTCAGCAAATGAAACGTATTGCTAAGCTTTCCTTCTCTCTTCCCCTCCCATTCCTTTAATCCGATTTGTTATTTCAAAAACGTTCTCTAACATTTATGAGAGACATCCGAGAACCGGCACAATAGAGTAAAAAAAAAAGAATTATCCTCATGAGGTTCGGTCGAACCTGTCAAACTATCAGATTTGTTTCATCGCTGGCAAATTGGTAGAATATTGTTTCCGACATTATTCGGTGTGTTCGCCCTCGCATGAACTCTGAAAATTTTTTGAACTTTTCCGTAAAGCTGTTCTTCATTCCATCATAGATTTCCTCTGTTTTTCTATTCTAACACCGCAGTCTTCGGATCTTTCTGCATACTAATCTTACATTCTCTCTTCCTGTATTTCATGTCATTACTTCTAATTTAATCAAATGAAGTTTTGTTCATTTTCGATGAATAGAACCATATATGAGCTAGTTGCTAAGTTAAACCCCAAAAAAGGAACTGTTGGCTGATAAATTCTATTATACCCCCTAAATAAATTGCGATTTAACTACTGACCTAATTGACTTCATTCTTAAGTGTACTAAAGCTTATCCTGTAGCTTGTATTTGATATGAACAATCATTTCCTCGCTTTGGGAACTACTCAGTGACACATTTATACTCTCGTGGTTCCATTTATTCTATTACTTTCAGGAACGAAATAATAACTTCACTGTTAGATTTTTATTGAAGCCGATGGCTGCTGCTAAAACTCAACGACTTCATCTTGGGGTGACTGATATTCCTTCTTGGTCATCATGCCTTCTCTTTGGGTTCCAGGTGATACCTATACATTTTTGACAGAACCCTTGATTGTTCAGCAAGCGATGTTATGTATTTCCGGCTTACTGGTTTATCCTTTTGTGGTATCCGAATGTGTTTGTGCAGGAGACGCTACTATAGAGTTGCGAGTTAAACTCATCGCAGCTACGTTTGTAGCGTCTGGAGTGGCAACTTTACTCCAAACAACTTTTGGGTTACGGTAATCCAGAACATACTCGGATAAAAACTGTTATTCTTTAATATAGGTTGTCTCTTCTACATGGCCCGGCTATTGCTTTCCTTCCTCCTCTCTTAGCGTACCAGGCTTTACATCCATGCCAAACAAATGAGAACGATCACATTGATCCCAATATCTGGATGGATAAGTTGCAAGAAGTAATTAAGAAACAGACTGACTAATCTAATTAGCTATCATTTAATAATTCAGATTGGTGGCAGCCTTGTCATAGCTTGTTTGAGTTTTGTCATCATTGGCTTCACTGGAGTAGCTGGAATTCTGTCACTTTTCGTTGGCCCAATTACAATAACACCTCTGATGTTGTTGCTTACTATTAGCATTGTGCCGACCATGGAAGAGAAACTCTCCCTGCATTGGATCTCGATAGTGTAGAGAAACTAATTCATCTTCGGTTGCATTAACGGGAATTTCTTTGTAGGATGCTTTTATGTGTGGCTTGTATGGCCATCTATATGGAAAATGTGAGAGTTCCATTCCCTTACTATTCTTTAGAAAAAGAATCCCTTCTTGTTAAACGATTGCCCATTTTTGGACAATTCCCGGTATTTATTTCATATCTCTAATTTTCAACTATCTGAGCTTCTTAGTATCTTGTGAGCATCGCTCTTGTTTGGAGTTTCTGCTACTTGATGACAGTGACTGATTTAGAGCCTATCAACGGAGAAGCTCGAACCGACAAAAATGCAACAATGACTGTATTGAAACAAACACCTTGGTTTCAAATTCCTTATCCAGGTTGCCAAAATATTGAATAACTTTGTGAACATTTCTTCTAGGACAATTCGGTTTTCCTAAACTAAGTGTTGGATTATGTTTTGGCTATGTAGCTTCGTGTATATCAAGCATGATCGAGAACATTGGTTCGTATGACCTTGCTGCTCGTGTTTCTGAGCAGAAATCCCCTCCAAGACATGCGGTGAATCGAGCGATCATGATCGAAGGTATGTAAAAAAGAATTGAAACATTTTCTCTTATCCAAATTAGGAGTTGGAAGTATATTAGCGGCTTCGATGGGTGTGTCTACTGGAGTTACGACTTACTCTGAAAATATAGCTTTAATACATATTACAAAGGTAATGATAATAACAACCGTTCTGCACTGATTCTTCGAACTGAATAACGTAGTTCGTCTCTCGGGGTATGCTAAATCCACGCGTTTCAGGTAGCCAGTCGACGTACTATGCAGATTGCTGGCTTGATTTTGATCCTCCTCGGAGTTTTCACCAAATGCGCTGCTCTACTTGCTAGTATACCAGATGCCCTTGTCGGAGGAGTATTAACAATGGGAATTTCCATGATTGCTGGTGTTACTTTGAGTAACCTACAAGTAAGCCGCCTATGTCATGTTATTGCAGACTTCTACTTTCAGCAAATCGACTTGTCATTAACTCGAAACTTAGCCATAATGGGTTTGGCTCTGATGCTCGGTTTAGTTGTTCCGAGAAATATTGAGAGAGCTCCTATTGCTACGGGTCATAAAGAATGGGATGGTGTCTTGAATATGCTTCTCAGCATTAAAATGTTGGTTGGAGGTTGTATAGCGGCAATTTTGGACAATACAGTTCCAGGTTAGCTCTGGTCCATCTAGTGTAATAGCTGAGCGATTTCAGGTGCTACACCTAAGCAACGTGGATTAGACCATAAGCATGACAACGCGAGAGCTCATGACGATGTTGACGCCTACATATTCTCTCCAACCGTGATGAAGTAAGTATCGAATGATAGCACGTTGAATAATGAAACTTAATAGAGCAATATCCAAAATACCTCTTGCATCGTATATTCCGATCTTCCCTACTTTGAAAGAGTCAACTACTCCCAAAAGCCAGGATTTAAGTACAGTATAAACTGAAATGGTTGTTAATACATGATCTCATTCCGCTAATAATTTTATAAATATGTTCTATTGAATTTATTTGTACATTATAATTAATAAATTAATCAAACAAAGATCCATATTACCCGAAAAGGTCAACAAAAAAACTAAAAAGGAAAAGTTTCCTTGTAAGAATACATACCTACTACACGTCTCCAAGGTCATGGTATGCGATTTTCTTGAGGGGGAGATCTACTATCTGCTCGGCGAAAAACAGGAACATTATCATCGGTATAATTTCTAGATTGCAAAGGCACATAATTTCGATGATAGGAACTCAATAATGATCTAGGATTATCTGAATACTCAAGGGGAATAGCAATAGGTCCTTCAGAGACAGTTCTGAGTGTTAACAAACTTCCTAACCGGGGACAAAGTCTAGGATCAATCTGTGGGGACGGGGGTTTCACAGCTGGGGCTTCCCAAACAAATTCATTAATAGTAATGGACTGGGGAGGTTCACTGGAACACCTTTTACGCTCGGTTATCTTATTTGACAGCGTGCACGGTACAAGACTATGGGAACGAAGTAAGAGATCAGAGTAGCTTATTTTATAATCATACGGATTGTGTGAGAAACAAGATGATCGTGGTGAACAAGAAAATGCGGGTGGGCTAATGTATGACCTCAGTTCAGGTACTAAAGCATCATCTTTTTCTCGATGACTCCATACTTTATCTCGGAACTGAACGATGTTACGACATATCTATAGGAAATAGGAAACTTTCAGCGATCAAACGAAAACTTACATTTCCCCTCCTTGGTAATATTTCATTCCTTTTGATAAAATTTCTAAAGACTCTCTCAGAAGAATTCCTGATTTCCATGTAATCTGATCTTAACTGCTTATACTGTCCGCTGAAAAGACAAAGAGTAAATGAAAACAGCCGGTACTTACAATGTCACAACTTGAATATTTTTGAAATAATGTGAAACGGAATAAGGTAAATATGAGGACGAACGTATTTTTCTCCGATGAACTCGTTTTCTATAAAACAGTAAGATATCGCGGTTCACTTTGAAACGAGCAAACCTTTTTTTTTTCGTTTTCGGAAAACTTGCTGGTGTTGTTAATTCACTTGATTTCCTTGGTCCCCTTTTTCGAGAGTCTAGCTTCTTTGGAGCTGAAAAGGATAACTTGAAATTCATTCTCACTTTCTTCATTACATTCGACATTAACAGTAGATGGCTTTCGAACGGCTTGTTCAGTTATTTTCGAGGAAACACTTTTCTTCCTGGCTTGCCGTTCCTTCATCAGAAGCTGTTGATACACTCTTCGAAGTCGGCTTATCAATAAATATTCGTAACGAGAGCGTTTGAATTTCCGACTTGAATACCTGTACAAGCAAAACATATGGAAAAGTTTACAAAAACCGAAACCTCTTCAGTTTCAACTTGATATCAGCTATACCCGGAACATTCCGACGCTTCTTTCCAGTTAGAAACTTTGAATTCTCATAATAAGCCTAGAAACCGATCTGATCGAAAGACATAATCATCTGCTTACTTTAATCATAGCATTTACTGGTGCACTACATGTGAATTGCACAAAAGCAAAAGGTCGGAATTTCTTTCCCATCTCAATTTTGTGTCCCAACATGGTTACTATTCTTGAATGTGTTTTTGGATATGTGAGCTATAACATCATGAAATGAATAATCTCAAGAGGTAGCTAACCTTCACAACGGTACCATATTTGTTCAAAAGCCGAAGAAGTCTCTCTGCATTGCATGCTGCGGGAAGGTTATCCTACAATTTCTAATTATCACTATGTTAAATAGATAACCTAACAATATATACGGTACAATCTTCGATGGATTCGGTTGGGGGTATGTACGCAATCTTCAAAATATTCTCATCAACATATATTTTAAACAAAGTGGAAAGATTCGAAATCTGTACAATAGCGTTAGGCTTTAATTTTGCGAACTAAAAACATACGAGAAGATTAGAAAAGACTTTTTGATCAAACCTCGGCATTGTTCAGCTTCAGAATATTCAAAACATCAATTAAGGAAGCTTCTAAAATGATCCTTCTAAGAAGTCTCCACTTCTAGTTTGGCAAACCTGGTTCTCCCCAATCATTCCTGGAACCGAAAAGATGACCAATCGGAGAGTTTTTCTGCAGTAATGCCTTCTCTATCTACATATAAATCCATTTAGAGCTCAATGATACGGAATACCTCAGTTTTTATCTTATTTCTGACTCCTTTAGTTCTGGGTCTTTTCTTTTTGTCCACCTGTGCATTGAACTTTACTCGCTTTGGAGCGACTCCTGGATCTGTTGGACCAGAGCGACGTCTCTTACCGAGTATTCCTTCATTGGCAGGTTCAACCATGCGCAGAACTAAAGATTCGGAACCTATAATCAAATACAGATCGGATAAAGTTCAGAAGGATCAAAACACTATGGTATTAAAGGAACATTTTCGATCAAACGGCACATGAACATTCAAGATCGGCATTGTCAAAACATATGCATTTACGTTTTTTAATGCTTGCGTCTTTTGATAGCTTACGTCTTTTGAAGGACGGATGTTTTCGTTGCAGGATATTCACAAACTATCGAAACTGCTTAAGTAAACAAGTAAATAAACAAACAAACAATAAAAAAATTATCACATAGGTGTTTTGTTTTGAGCTGATAGATTGTAACTTTGGTTAGAATATGTAATTTGATTATCTTATCAGACAGAAAATGTTATAATTTCATTTCGTGATCTGAAAACTTTCGAAAAGAAAATAAGTTTCTGAAATTAACTGAAGTGATTTATACTTCAATCACAACATAAGACAAGTCCAACGTTTCTACATACAGATATATTTGAGGAGTTGATCCAGCTTAATGATAAGTCAAGTCATCTGGTTACTGTAACTTGGAGAGAGATGAGAAGAAAAGAGATGTGTCTATGTGCAACCGCTCTTGACGAGTTTATCACGTAAAATGGAATGAGATCATCACCAATAATGTTGCTTGATCCTTTTTATCTCCTCATCGAGCATATTTCCTTCACTGTACCAAGAAAAGTGTGTAGGAAGGAGAAAGAGATGGTTTCATCAAAACAGTCAAAAAGTCAAGAAGAAAAGCTTTGTTCTATCAACTTCCATTCTTTGAAGTTAGTCTGATTCATGCTGTTCATTGTACTTGTTTCTATTTGAATCGCCCACAGCCTACCAATCACAAACTCTGTTCCATTGTGATAGCGAAGTCAAATTTCTAGCGAATTTCCGAAAAATGTCTGTATAAGTTCTTCTTCAAGTCTTTCACCGTTTTCACAGCAAGTACGTTTCACAGGAAAGAAAGACTAACAGGCTCAGCGACTGTTTCACTTTTTGGAAGGAATGAAATGGCGAAGTTGAATAACAATTTTTTTTTAAAACATCATATTGTGCCCTATTAAGTCTTACGTGCATTAATTACATCCCTTCTCCCTATTTTCTCTCTCTCATTCAATAATACGTATGTTGGTGGAAGTTTCTTGTTTTTTTAAAGAACAAAATTATCCTCTTCTTCTGATAGCTAAGGCAAGTGATATTAATATTGTATAGTGATGTCTATTCAATGACCTTCCTTTTCTCTTTGTTCATTCTCTCATTCGAATCGTTCATAACATCATTATTGATTCTTTACAGTTACTACATTTTAGTTTTTATGCCCGGTAAAAGTTTCTGATAAAAAGAAACCAATCGCTATTAATAGTTTCCCATATCTGACATGGGTCATCAACTACATATCTTCTTCCTGTTGATTTTCAATGAAGTATCTGGATGCTTCTGCAATGAAGAACATGGTGGATTTAAAGTATCCGAACGACTTTATCTGCAATAGACCGCTTACTAAATTTTAGATCCTCTCTTTTGCTTGGGAAGAAGTTGACAAACCCTTTATGATCACCGTCTGGCTTTTGGTTGCAGCTCTGGCTAAAATTTGTAAGTGAAATTCAGTTTTCCTCATAAACTCCTATTAAGTATTTCACTTATCAAAACCGATCGCTACATACTTACCTGATTCGTCTCTACTTGTTGTCATTGGACTGGTATTTCTTCTTCTTCTACCTCATATCTCAAAAAAATTGATTTCAGGTAATTGGTGCTATTTTGAAAGAAGCTAATATTGGGTTCAACTTGGATAGTAAAATTTTCTTTCTTTACCTTCTACCTCCTATAATTTTTGATGCAGGTTTTCTCTCTGAAATAGCTTTTCCGTTCAGTCTGTTTGAATTAAGGTTATTTCATGCCTAACAGGGCTTTATTCGAAAACATGGATTCAATCCTTCTTTTCTCTGTTGTCGGAACCATATGGAACACATTCGCTATCGGTTTGTCAAGCTCTGGTATCAACTATAAAGTCTTTACAGGGGGAACTCTGTACATTCTGAAACATTTTAGTATTTTCACAATGGGCTTTGAAATTTTTGAGATTTTTGTTTTCTCTGCCCTAATATCTGCAGTAGATCCGGTATTTGTTGTACTGATATCTCATTATTGACAAACAGGGTTCTTAGGTCGCCGTCATTGCCATATTCGAAGAGATCAACGTAAATGAATTTCTATTCATAAATGTGTTTGGAGAAGCTTTATTCAATGACGCAGTCACTTTGGTATTCTGAACGCTGACAAGAAGTTCTAAAGTTCATTAAGGTTCTTTATCAAATGTTCAAAGCGTTTTATGAAGTCGGACCTGATAATCTTGGTTACTCTGATTACTTCTCAGGGTTTATAAGATTCTTTGTTGTTGCTTTCGGAGGAATTTTCATCGGAGTCGTTTTCGCTTTAATCACAGCTTTGATCACTAAGTTGAAAATTAACTTTGTTCCAAATATATATATTTTTGATCAGATATTCTCATGTTGTCCGAATCATAGCACCAGTGTTCATCTTCGTCGTTCCTTATATGGCATATTTAACAGCCGAAATGCTTTCATTTTCTGCTTTCATAGCGTAAGTTTTCTCTTAAGTAAAAAAAGAAGCTCATTTGACTACATTCTCAGCATTGCCGTCTGCGGAATGACAATGAAGCAATACATTAAAGGAAACCTTAGTCAAGCAGCAGTAAATTCTGTAAAATATTTCACCAAAATGCTTGCACAATCAACAGAAACCGTCATTTTCATGTAAGTCTTGTTAATCTGAAAAAAAATGATAAGAAATCATCCCAATGTCGAATCACAGCCGTACTCAACTACCCAATTATCTATTAATGAACCAATTGATGAAAATTGCTTGAGAACAACAACTGACATATTCCACGTACTAATTACGAATCTAGATTTCTAGGTTCTTGGGCATTTCTACTTTGAGTAGTCAGCACTACTTTGATGTTTGGTTCATTGTTTCAACACTCATCCTCTGTCTTCTATATAGAACGATAGGTAGCATTTTCAATTTTTCTAAAAAGGGATGATTAGCTCATCTCTCCCAGAATATCATTGAGATAGCATACATACATTTTTAAAACCCGCTTGAATAGTTTTATGTAAATCGTAGAGAAACCATTGATCGCAAATGACATTTTTGAGGTGTTCTTGCGCAGTGCTGGTTTTTGAACAAATTCCGTCACAAGAAATTCAGTAAAGTAAGAGAAATCTCAGAATTATATCTGAACGTAACATTGAAGGTTGACCAGTTTATTCTTTCCTATGGAGGTTTGCGTGGAGCGATTGCTTTTGGATTGGCGGTTTCCATTCCTGATAGTATCGAAGCAAAGCCAATGTTTGTAACAACAACAATCATTGTCATTTTCTTCAATGTTTTCCTTCAGGTTTAACATACAATCATGACAATCTCATATGTTATTTAGGGTATTACCATAAGACCACTTGTCAACTATTTGAAGGTTGAAAGGAAAGAAGAACATTCACCTACAATGACAGAATGTGTTTACAACAAAGTTTCAATTATACTGATTAGTTATTATGATTAATCTCATTTCCAGTATTTGGATTATATAATGTCAGGGCTTGAAGACATTGCTGGCCAACAAGGTCATTATTCCTTCCGTGATAAGTTCAACTCTAGAACAATGACTGTAACCAATGAAAATGTTTCAGTTATGAACGTTTCAATTCAAAAATTCTGAGACCTATCCTCCTACGAAATGAGACGAAGAAGGACTTCGATGCTTCTTGCATAGTTAGGGCTTACGCAAAAATCACTCTGGAAGATGCTCTGAATTTGACAAAATTACAACCAACACATCGCCAAATCGATGCTGTGAAGAAGTTCTCAAACTCACAATTAAATTTTCAATTTATTAGTGATTTCAGAGCCGATTCTCCATTTCGCAGTAGGACGTTCACAAACGATGCCTTCGATAAACAAGGAGAATCTCTATCTGTACCAGGAAAAGAGCACCAAGTGCAAAAAGTTTGTAATCTGTTTGTTTCAAGAGTAACAAATGGTTTGCAGATATTAGAATCTGGAGAAAATGTCGAAGCTTTATACAGTTTGTTCAGTGATTTATTAGATAGAAAGTTACATGAGATGAACACGTCAAGAGCTAATGCAAGAGATTTGGATAATGATGATATCCGAGATGACTATATGCAACAGATCAGCAGTTCTCATGTAACTTTTCTAAACGAATTAAGATAGAAGAACTTTATTATTTAGGGATCTTTCACAAATTTGAGAAACGATTCGATGCCTGAGTCCGATTTCATGAGAACAGGGCGGCGTCAATCAACTGGAGGAATGAACGAAAAAAGAATTACAAATAACGACTTAGCACCAAATTAGTTAATTTAACATTTTGAAATTTCAAATATACTGAAAAGAAGTATATAGATGTTTAATACCTAAATAAACGATTTCATAAAAGCTTAGCTGAAGAATTTGTTTGCTCAAAAATTCTATTTTCGTTTCTCGACGAATGAGACTAAGGCCGAAAGGGGGGAAGGGGGAAGGGGGAAATAAATTAAATGTAATAAGCCTTCATCGAAAACGATACGTCGATCTTTGATTATACCAATTGGTCTTCGAGCAATGGAGACTAAACTAAGAAAGTCATCTCCATTTTCTGCCAATACGCATACAAACACACCAGAGCAGCAGAAAGCTATATTTGAAAATTATTTCTATTACAACCTAGTAATTCATAATCAGCTATACTATAGCATACAGCTTTATATAGAGGAAGGAACATTACGAGCCTCTAGCCAGATAATTGGCCTGTTTTTGTTGAATTAAAGTATTTTTTCTTCAAAATTGTTGATCTCACTCTGTTTTTATTTTTCATTCTTCAAATTTCTTGCAATTTTTTTATGATCATCCTCAGATTTGTGGTAAAACTGAATGGCTTTGAAGGCAAATGTCTCCCGACCATTGTGCAGTGATATATACCAGGTTATCCTTATTTTATCTCGTCAACTGATTTTTCTTGATTAGGATAGTTCTGAACTAGGAGCTAACGTGATCCTACATGTGTTATTGAACGTTGCTGGAATAGTCTGTAATATATGCCTCTTGTTATCTTTTTCTGGAAGGTCTAAGCTTTGTACAGCTAGGTGGATACAATATGACAGAATCTTTGAAAATTCTCACTTTTACAGCTTCACTTATATAAGAATCTTGGGTATCGCACAATTTCTATTCTTCATTCTACCTTTCCCTCTTAAACTTCTGACGGAACATTACCAGCGTGGTCAAACTTGGTTTGCCACTAACTTCTTACCTCTCGTGCTTGGATTATTTCACTTCATGATTACTTGTAACGCGTTTTGTTTATCTGTTCGTTTACAACTTCTTATTAATTATGTTAGGGTGAGAAACAATTTAAAAGCATAAAAAAATGTTTTTTTTATCAGCGCTGTCGACGTTGGAGTGCTCAAGGATGGGTGGCTTGGAGAAAAACATGTTGGGTTGTTCCTTTCGGAATCATAACGAATGTCTCTTTGTGTTTTGAATATAGTTTGGATTACCAAATATGTTTAACTGCGTGAGTTACCCAACTGTTTTCTGTATCTCGCATTGCACTAGATATGGACAAGCGGCGATAGGGCAGCTCCGATTATCTGATGCTGTTAAAGGAGACAATATGAAACTCGAATTCATTAGAGCGACCCCTACAATGATTTTTTGGCAAGAGATTCGAGTTTAATCTATTTCTATTTTTCTCTCTAGGCTTACAATGCTTTTTACTTTAACCTTCCTTTCGTCTGAGCGTTGTATTCTGCCAAAGTTGGGATCTCCGTACGCCGCGAAACACATACCGCTGCTCTCTAATCTCAGAACCATTTTGTTTTCTATAATTCTTGCCCATTCAATAGTTCATCTCAGTTACACAATAACCTTATTGAAGGGAGAGAGACTTGACGACTCAACAAAAGTAAGAAAAAGTCTGAAAAATTCATAATATGTATATGTTCCTTTTAGTTAACATTATTCGCTATCTCCTATTCGTTGCCATTCCCTTTAATTTTTCTAATAAGCAAAACATTTCGTTCTCATGTTTTTCATATACTAACCAACATTTGCCATACGTAAGCTTAAGTGATCATCGATTAAGTGTTAGAATTTCATTCTAGATCGAACTTCAGAAGGAATCGTACCAGGAAAGATTCCACAATAAGACGAGTAACAAATCACATAGCTAGAAGCGTAGCCTACAGCAAGTTGGAAATGGAGAATTCTGAGCTAGATGATCGATTCTTAGAGTATAATTAAAAAAGTTTTTGTTTGCATACCGATCGCTTCAGGCATAGTTTTCGTTCAGTACTAAAAGAAGATGCCATTTATAGAATAAGGTTTGCTCTTCCACAAACAGTAGAAGTGATTGAAGAGGAGGCGAGTGGGAATAAGGATAAAACTCTATTTATAATTTTCCAGGATGAAAGCTTCGAACGACGGCTGGATCTCCATCACCACTCCGATGAGAATCTAGATATCGAAAGTGCAGAATATTTACAACGAATTCAAATAACTCAAACTGAGGCTGACAATTCAATAGAATACAAGTGAACCGTGACAGTTCACCATTTTTCGACTTAATAAATGCGTTCTTGATTGATTCCTAATTCTCATTATCACTTGTTCCCACATTGAATGTAATAACTAGACTAAGGGTACAAAATTCATTTCTCACAGTTTCAGATGCTAAAACGGTTGAAATTGAATTGAACTTCATTAACCTGATTTATAATTATACAAAAAATATAAACAAACGAGGAAATATAAACATCCAGCAAGATACTTTATCCTTACTATAAACAAATAACACACGGTTCCATTCATACACTTCATATCTACACAGATTATGTGGTCGACAGTGATAATCTTGCAATCGCTCTATATTCTCATTCACTGTCATGATGATGATCTACCTTTTTTGACAAGTAAACATTTTTTAGACCAAACATTAATTTTATTGTTCTTTTCTCAGAACGAACTGAGGCTTACGTAGAAGAGCTTGAAAAAGCATGTAAAGTGGGTAAGCACGAATGTACAGAGGTAGGAAGATTGTTATCTTTTGGTATGGTTCTTACTATTACTTCTTGAGGCAGCAGAACATTTGGCAGAAACTCTCCATATCTTTCAAGAACTTCTTGCAACACATTCAAAACGTAATGAAGAGTTGGAACACATAGCTATGACGGTGAGTTATCCTCTCTATGCTTATCGTAATCTTCTTATGGATAAGAGGAGAATGAATTCAACAATAAGCTAAGAGTTTAGAGCGAAAGAATAATGCCACCGTTGCTGATTTTACAGTCTGTTGCGCAATTAGATGAGTTCAAGCTGCATCATTTAGAAACAGTAGACAAGATTATCAGAGAGGTATATCTGACCGTTTGATGAAAGTTAACTAATCCCTTTCTAGGCAAACAAACAACTGCATCGGATGCATCAATTCGATAGGGAGCAGTGGATTCAAGATTTGCACATGATCACTAATCGACATGCTAACGAAGATTTGTGATAATTCAGTCCTATTTCTATGTTCATATGTATTCTGTTCTGAAGTATTCAAAGTTCTTTTGTATTATAAAGGTTTATATATAGTTTATTCACTAAGCTAACTTGTTGTAAAACGTGTGAATATTAACAACTTATCTCGGTACTTTTTCATCTTCTGGAGAAGAAAACGGATATGATAACTCAAACTTTCATCATTTTATGTTTACTTATAACGCTTTTCTAACATTGAGAACAATAGTAAACCGAAATCATTAATAGTTCTATCCTTTTCTTCTTCTCCACCTTCTTTGATTGGTGTCGGCTTCAGGTAAGAGATGATGCTGCTAACAGAGATAGAATCTCAAAGGCACCTGTCGTCTTCAGCCACACAGGTGACACAACACATCCGGAAAAATTGGCTTCCAGCTTGAGTTCTACTTCTTCTAATCTTCGCCCGTATCCTAAGTTATCTCCCACCTAATTTGCTCGAAAACCCTGAATCGTCCTACCTCTCAAGCTCGATGTGTTCGCAGTCGATAACGGACAATCCATCAGCAGAACAAGCCAAGAAAAAATCTATCTTTACAAGTAACTTTTTTATTCATCCTCATTAATATTGCCATTCTCAAGATATCGAAGATCTCATATCACAAGAACAACCATCAACCAGCCATTATCTCCCTTCATCTGATAAAGAATCAACTTCTAAGCTAAAGGTTAGATATTGTATGATAGCATGAATTAATGTTTTCAGTGCCCGTTCTGTAAGAAATCGTATGTCACTTATTACGGGCTGAGGCGACATGTCAAATCTCATTTGGATGGAAAAGTAGATCAAATATGTCCGATTTGCCTGAAGCATTACACGTAAGTAATATTGATGTCTACCCAAAGAAAAAGTTTCGTTAATTCGAAAACTCTCAATTAACGTTTCGTGAGTCACAGGAAGTCCTATAAATCGGCACCTGTGTTCCACTCACACCTGTGTATTATTGCTCGAGAAACCCACCGGATAAGATGCTAGAGAAGAAGAGGATAGGCGAGAGAGATATAATGAATAATAGTGGCAGAGAGAATCAGATGAAGAAAATAAAAATATATTACAATGACTTTGACGACCATCGAAACTACTCAATCTCTTTATCACCTGAACGATTATATGATGACGTGATAGATCATTGCAACTAGCGGATAAAAAAAGCTAGCTGCACGTTTGGGAACCACTGATGAGGAAACTCTTTAACTGAAATCAGCTGTTTAGATCTTCGGGAGCTCTAAAAATGCACTTGAATACTCATTCATTACCTTGTATATGCAACATATGTGGGAAAAGCTTCAGCAGGCCGTGGTTATTGAAAGGTCATCAAAGAACTCATACAGGTTGATTTGTATTCTTCACGTTTTTTATTTTAACAAACGTAGGTGAAAAGCCATATAAATGTCAGAAATGTGGAAGACAGTTCGCAGATCGAAGTAATTTGAGAGCACACGAACAAACCCATGGTAATAATAAGAGATACAGGTAAAGCCATTATAAACTGATATAAAAATGAGTTATCATTATTCAGATGTGCAAATTGCGACCAAGCGTTCGCTAGACTACAAGTCAAGGAGAAGCATGAAGTTAAATGTTGTAAAACTGAGTCTGAAGTATCTTTAAAATCTCATTAAATAAATTTTGTAAATTAAAATAAGGCACAAGAAAATCCATGAACAGTAAACCCAATCATATATCAACCATTGTTATTAAAGGAAATTGAGCACTTTTGGGATTGAGCAAGTCTACTAATAAGCATATTGCTCCACCCCATCCTTCAAAAAGACTGTATCGCTCTGCTTCAATCAAATCCTGTTGACGAACAATGTTCGAATCCATCATGAGTTTGGCAAAGCATTTAGCTCGCTGAAGCCACTTTCTGTCATTAGTAGCTCTCCATAAATATATGAAAGGATATGCTGCAATACGTTTTCAATAGTATATAAAATAGTTATGTTGAACTGTACCGTTCCCTGAGATACCATGACAAAGCCCAGGACCTTTCTTAAGAACACCTTCTTTCCATATAAGCTCCCCTGATGATATAGCAATCTTAAGGAGAATATACATTTAAACGTTCCCTTGACTATATTTTTACCTCAAGATAGTTCTCAACTTTGAAATACTTGTACATGAACAAAGCAACATATACAACTCCTGGAGCTCCATGGCACCAATGAATTTGAGGAGACGCTTTTGGTCTACAACGATTATGTACAATCATATTATGTGAAAAGAAACTTTATGAATGTTCTTAAGGAGCTTGGGAAGTTCCCATTTGGAAATTGTGTTTTCAACAACCATTCACTAGCTTGTCGGACCAGCGTGATTTGCTCTAGAGTTAACAAATCGAAAAAACTGAAGTGTAAACGTTGATAATGAATATGATATAACTCCTACCAATATAACGTGCATAATATTCCCGCCAAGCCATGAGCAGCTCCCAAATACTCAGTTCCATGATATGAATACATTAATGGTGATTCTGTTCTGCCATATCTAAACAAGTACTATCTAGCTCATGTTCTCTGTGCCAATTTGAGTATAAGATGCAATCAACCGTCCGACTTCATCCACATTTTCAATGCGAGCATGATTAGCAAGCGGTTGTATACTTCTAATTCTCTTAGCACACATCAAACCTCTTTCCGGATATTACGATTTGATCAATTATAGATAAAACAATGTCTTCCGACACTACTGGTTTATTGGTAGCATGCCTAGAAAACTTGAATGATTAAAATAACATTTCAATATTACCTTAGTGTGTTGACGGCTTGTAAATATCCTGCTCTTCCGTTGAATATTTCGTCTTGTTCAAAGTTAGGCTTCAAAATATTAATTAATAGATGCTGAATATAACAGTAGCAGTACATCAGCAAAAACCTCGGATAAAACAGTTAAATCTTTGGATATCTTATCCATATCTGCAGTAGTGTCATGTCCATATATAGTGAGAGAGCCGATATACCCAGTGAGGTAGAAGTGTCGACGTTGTGTCTCGTGACCTGTTAATACAAGTTTGATTCGATATGAAACCAATTGTTTATACTTTCATCGTCAAAAATGGTGCCTCTTATATGTTTAACAGCCTGATTCAAACATTCCTCATCAAGATAATCCTTAGCTTTGAAGAGAGCGTAAGCCACCCCTGCAGTTCCAGAGTAGGCATGACCTAGAGCCACAGTTATATATATAATAATAATAATAATGAAAACTGCTCACTATATCTTAAATATTTCGGTGTTAACTGTTCTCGTGAAAGTATTCGTCCAATCAATTTTATTTGCGAACGAATCCAGGCATCATCAACTGTTGAAGCCCCTGACGCCTCATCATGAAAGTAAGGATTTTCGAGATATCGACTCATCTTAACGAAACGTTTGAACTTCAATCAAAACTTCACAGAAAGATATATGAGAATTACATGTTCCCCCTTGAAAGTAAAGAAAAGCAGATTTATATCTGATTCATTAGTAAAACTAAAATAATATCCGTAAAAAGGCAAGAATCTGTACAAACAAACATAATGGCAAGCGAAATCTGAGAAGTTTGAACTTAACAAAGTAGAAATCTAATAAAATGTACAGAATACAGTTCGAACGCGGCCACCGAATAAGGTCGACCAAAAAGGCATCGCTGAGCAAAAATAGGACTGGCGTTGTGGAACAATTACAATAAGCAACTCGTTTGAAAATATGCTAGGATACTATTTTAACAAAAAATAATATTTTTCCTTAATTTAGCTTCCTAATATATATAAAAATAAAATTTAAATGAATAAAAGCTTTCTCTCTGAGAAGAAAATGTACAGTACCGATTCAACAAAGTAAAATGTGACAAAGAAGCCCGTAAAACAATCAAGGGAGTTTGTGACTTACATATGTAGCAATTCCGTAAGTATAATGTGGAATAATAAGAAAGACTACGAAGGGAAATTCTGAACAGATTTAGTGAATCTAAAAACTTAAGGTAATCATGAAAAACTGCGTTTTAAAGGAAAATGTGTAGTGTGAAATGAGAAATTGATTGAGCAAATGAGAATGCGTGAATTTTGCGTTTGTCCGAGTAAGGCGGTTCTTTCTTGCAATCATGACCATATAGTAGATCTATTCAATACGAGAATTAACTACTCTCCTTTGGAAAACGCTTCGGATTGTATCTATACGTAACGGGAAGTCAAATCGTCGGGGTATTGGCTTCTGAACTTCACGTTCCATGAAGCCAAAAAGATAGTACCAATACTCTTTCCTATGATGATTGTGTTGAGAATTCTGCAATAAGTGTCATGTACGCAAAAAGGAAAGTGACTAAACTTACGCGAAGTGTAGGATGCGCAGCAAGGGTGTGATAATTCCAGAACAATCTTGTCACTACGTAATAAGACAAAATCACGTCCAATGTGTAGTGTCCCCTTGAAATCACTAAGAAAATGACACCGGCTAAGGCAGCTATCCATGACGTTACATGGAGAACCCACCATCTTCGAGGTGAATCTATTATTTAACGAATTGTAAGAGAATAAAATCGGTAGCTTACATTCCGTCATGAACAATGCGCTAATAACTAGAACAATTGTATGTCCAGAATAGATGTAGTCTCCGCATAATGTGTTTTTTCCTTGCACATTCAGACCAACTCCCGCAACCATTTTCAGTCCTCGTACGACAACACGCCAAAATGTAGCATTTTCACCCTGAAACAAGTAACAAACTACAACAATGCTCTCTGAACAGGAAGCAATAGATATACAACCGCACAACAATGACGTGAATCAAAATGAAAACACTCATTCTGAAGACAGTACTGCAAGTGAGCGGTTGGAATTTTTTTTATAGTTAGAAAGGTTGATTGCTACGACTTGCTTGTGACTTACCAATTTGGGAGAACAATAGAAGTTAGGATCAGCGACAGGTACTTGGGTTACAAGCATGGTAACACATCTCATCAAATAGAGTAATGCTCCTAATATCATCAACCTCCTCAGCATAATCCATCGATGTCTGAAGTTATAAACTCGATGGATGATGTTCTCACAGTCACTTACCTATGGAAGAACATAAGTAGTAAAACGGAAACAAAAGAAACTATCATGATATATTCACAGATTTCAAGTCCTTTAGCATAATATGGGATAAGTGAAAACGTTATATCTGGCAAAGGTGCCATTTCAGGAACTCTCTCATGAACAAAACTCAGGACGACTTCGTTGAGGACAGCGGCAAAAACTAGCATAACGACTGCGATCTAAATAGACGCAGTTTTAAAATTTTACAAACACTCAAACGAACCATCGCTTTCCCATGTTCTTTAGGAAATCTGTCATGAGGAGAAGCAGGCTTCTCTCCTGGCATATCAATACGAACTCGGCCAGTTTCTGAACATCGATATGAATGATAGCTTTTGAGGAAAAAATTACCTGGTAGAAGAGGAGCATCATCCGCTGTATCACTGTCACTTGCAGAAGAAGCAGCACTACCGCAAACACGCCTTGAAGCCACAATATCACGCGACGACGACCCCGACGCGTCGTCGTCCATGGCTGAAGTACAATAACATTTACTAAGTCATAAATTCATAAAAAAAAGAGTCTGGTTAGCTAAGCAAAACAACGCTCAAGTATTTTCAAAATTATCGAACTGTCAAGTTGGTTCACAGTTGAAAAAGGAGATGAGAATCTGATAGTATGGCGCTAGCATATTGAAATTGGCAAGCAAGTTCAGGAGTAAAGCGGTAAAACGAATGTGGGCATAAGGAAGTGAACAGGTCTTTCGTTTTTCCTTTTACCGATTTCTAACAAATATGAATCGTCGTGTACTGTATTCGAGGTTGTTAAAACAACGACGAATCAGTGATTCTAATCGAAAAATCATCCACGGCAAATGGGTGTTCAGACGTAATCCTTAACACTAGCAAGTGAGCCATAACTGAGGATTAAAATACGAACTATGGAGAAAGTTGCATGAATAACTCGGAATGCTAATGTTTTGAAAAATTGGTATGTAAAACACTCACTGATCGATCCATAATTGGTAACGTTTACAATAATTTCGCTCATTCTCAATTTATGACAATATTGAGTAGCTTTCCGAGAACCAAGTTATGCACGGATAGAAAGGGCAAATTAATTGACTTGAACGTAATAGATAAGCCCCTACTGTGAGCTGCCAAAAGAATGTATGATAAGATTATTTAACAGGTGAGGCATGTGACAAGAAAAGAAAGGACGTCATTTTTATTTTGACGTATAAGGCCTGGAAAACAAGAGAATGTTTGAAGCGGAGAATTACAATCGATCTGAACTTCAAAATAAACTAATACGTTTTGAAATGAGTCAGATCATAGTGAAAACACTGAAGTGAAGGTATAATGATTTTCGATGATTTGCAGAACGAAGCAATTGAAAAATCCAATCAATTTTCAGATGTTTCGTTCTTTCTTTGTTAGAAATGAAGGAAATAAAACTTAAAAATAGCTTAATTGAATAAGAAAACGAAAATTACAACAGACGAGAGAAGTGGAGAAGTAGGAAGGAAACTGTCACTAGTAAGAGAATGTAACGGAGAGAAAAAATCTAAGATGATCAAAGTAGATCAATAGCTTGTTAAAACTATTGAGAAAAATTATTTTTGTTCTCCGAAAACCGGTTGCAGTAAGCTGTGAAAAAACCGAGAATATCACATCATTGCATAAGTTATCAAGAACGGAAAGGTTAAACGGGATCCAGAAATAATCGATTCAATTCAATAGAAAATATCTGAATAGAATGGACATACTAGTAGAGGAAACAACGATAAAATATGAAGTTATCGCCGCAAACAAATCCTTGTAGAGCTATCCCTCCCAGATTTTCAGTCCAAACATAAAAAGTGATCAAAGTTGATCGGAATATGCATTCATAAAACGTATATTCCGCGCCAACTTCTTTCAAAAGAAAAGAAAATGACATGAAAAGTCTTAAACATGGGCAAGTTTCAGTGAAAACTACAGCCTGCTGTTGTAATAGTCAAAAAGGTGACGACAGCCCATCAATATTGCAACTCTTCCATTTCAAGGTTGACTTCCTATATTCAAATCAACTAATGTTCAAGTTTTATTCCGTTTTAATCGCTTCAGTTGCTCAATCGTCATGGGTGTAAGTAAGATAGGCAGAACATAGATGGTCTAAGCAGCTTTCAGACTGATTATATCATCATAAAAACTACTATGCGCGTAACAATGTAAAACCAACAATGAAAACATGCCTGAACATCTTCTTTCATCTTTCTCTTCCTTAGATAAGCAAAACAAAAAGGATGGCGTCGAGGCCGTCTACTACATGTTAGAAAACGTTGTTCAATCACACATTTTCTTCATGACCTCAGTTGAGTCTTGAAAAACATCATTTAAATAGAAACAGAAAAAAACTGAAAAACAGTGCTCTCCGATTGCAAAGTTCTCATGGTGATGAAGAACAAGAATTACATCCAAGAAAGCAAAAACACTGTTTATCCAGTATACTGAAGTTGAGCCTGACAAAATAAAAGAAGCAACTGATATTGAGGCTCAAGTAGCATCCTGAACAACACCCATGGGATGAAGGGATAAGAAAATCAATATCTGGTCAAGCAAGGATCTTCCGGGAAAGATCCGGTTGTACTGGACATACGTCTTAGAGAAATGGAGTGCAAATGAATATGAATAGTAGAAAAACTAAACGCAAAACTTGAACAATCGATAGTAATTTTAACGAGAAAATAACAATACAAGTCTGCTCAACAGAGTTAGATGGAGGTCATCTGCTGGTAGTAAGAGTTTTTCTTCCAAAACTTCATCATTAGAGAAACAGACGTAATATTACGAGCTGCATTGAAGAAAACAGTTGGCTCTTATATCTTTGCAATACATAAGCAAAGTATAATAACGTATGGGTAGAAAAAAAACGGAAACACCCTATGTGATTGGAATGGAATGGTTCACCCGCTGAGAAGGTGTCACTGAATATATATAGGAGAATATTGAAAAAGTGATTATATAGATGTATACACACTTATGACGCAAGTAGGAACTGAAAGGCGGGTTAAGAACTGCTTGTAGGCCTAGAGATCAGCATAGGCGAAGGCTCATTTACCAATCGAAAGTATATGAATATACATCAATATAGAGCATTCTTTTCAATAATACATCCCAAACAGTCGTCGGAGAGCTAATAAAGAAAGGGAAGTTAGAAGAGACAGTTGAACAATAATAAAAATGAATGGCAGACAAACGTGAAGATGATCTTTTGGATATAATGGAAAGGCTAATTCGTATATTGTTTAACAAGGATAGTTCTTCTATCCTTCAAAGAGTTTATTACAGATGAATATGTGAAACGGAAAAGATATACCGAGTATAACAAAGACGGATAGTGATTTGGTAGATGGCCTTCATGTAGTCTTTATACGGAAAAATAGAAAGTTATTAAAGGTACAGCGACACTTAGTTCTGGAGGTAATTATGAACAAAATGGAAAACGAAAGAGAAAACAAAATGTACTTTGAGCTGCGCAGATGAGTCAGAACGATTTACAATAATAACTGAAGAATCAGAAAACAAAATATACGAAAATCGATGTGGTCATTTGTTTCAGATTCATCAAAAGAGTTCAACTACGTATACGATGGGTTTGTAAAAGCATCGAAGAAATTAGCAAATGGAATGAATTATGGAAATGCTATTTCAAAGATGGTTGGAAGTATAAAACCTATGCGTTACGATACTATAAATGATATGGCCTCAAACGATGAGTGATGAGATAATAGTTATGAGATTATCCATACCACAATGACCAGATACTTCTATCTATCTAGTCTTCAACTATTAGTTCACTCAAAAAACAAACAATTTCCGATAAACTGAACAGTGTTTATCGCGATGAGATATGAAACCCATGTATTGTTTAGTTATAACGGTTAGGGTTGTTTAAAGCTGGCATATATAAAGAAAAAACTACGCCAACCTATTGTGTTTTAGATAGAATGTGATTTCTCTAAAATTCATCAGCAGTATTCAAAATCAATAAAAAAACAAGCGAAATAGAAACCTGATCGGGTGGAGAATGATAGTTGCCCCACACAACAATTACCTTGAAGGACTTGTTGTATAAAACATCATTTTGCTTACAGTGGGTAGACTGCTGATATCAGTAGAATGAGCATACAAACTATGTACAAGGTATCATTTCCTTGTTCGTTTGCTACGAGATATAGCGTAGAATCAGAAAGCTTAGTGCCTTTGCAACAGGTTGAAAAGTGGAAAACAGTATCGTTTTACGCTGAACGGCCGTGATATAACTGACTAACGAAACGTCAGACATTCGCAGCTATTCTCCGAAAAATCTCGTGATCAAATTAGAACTAACATATAAACTTCTGGCGAAATAAACAGAGGAAAACAAAAAAAATATCACGTCATATAATTTTGTAAGGAAAACTGGTTCAGAATGTTTCTAGCAGACCTGCCAACATTTATGCTAAATCTTCTAATCAGAACAAGTGTTGTATTTTATCATTTTCGTGTTTGGAATAAAAAAGCGACAATGTGAGAATACCAATTGAGCTCTACATCATCGAACTCAGCGGAAGAACAACCGATTCCAAACTTTTCGGGAATAGAATGAAAAAGTGCGGGAAGTAAAGACGTGTATCATAACGAGTATCGATTAGGATCAAGTAATCAATATAAACAAAAGTGACTTGAATTATTCGGATAGAAAGCATCTCATGATCTAGGTTTCGATGAGTCTAGAACGAAAGAACGATCTAAACAAAGACTTTCCAGACGAAAAAGCAAACTAATAAAAAATGAAGCGAAGATAAATCTCAAATAGGTTTCTAGAGGAGAACACATAATGTTATAGATGGAGGGCCACTTATAAGGTGAGGAAGTAATCAAGTATTGAGAGAAAATCCTGAACGAAATTCTTTGAACATGAATAAAATTGTACATTTACATGAATAAAACAAAAATGAAAACATTTGCTTCGTTAAATTGAAGAGAAACGGAAGATGTTACTTTACTCTAGTTCACAGCAAGTGTAACCAGTTTCTCTCTTCTACATAAGTCACCACCCCGTAAGCAAACTAATGAAGATAAAAAAGTTAGATTATTCTAAACAAACTAGCCAAGAAACTGAAAATCAAGTTTAAATAATGTTACAAAAAGTTACAAGCAAATATTCGTTCACAAAGTTTATCTCACAGCTATTTGACTTATTAACCTAAGAATTAGCCGAACTGATTCAAACTCTGGTTGCTTCTACGTTCTTCACCAATAGAGTGGACAATAGTCACGCTTAGCTGATCAAATCGTTAGCAAATACGAGCTATGGGGGTGATAGAATAGAAATCCTCTCGTGTGATTCCGAACAGTTTCATTGAAAGCGACAGAACAGTACGGAAAACTCTACTGAACGAGTTCACAAGGTTTACTCAGAATATGTATGAATTGGTAACTGGAAAAACTCCGCTCAGAGAAACATTAAGCTCGCAGTAAAAGGTAATATTCAAGGCAAAAACTATAATGGAGACTTAAGAATTCATGCCATTCAGCTCAATGAAGAAATATAGGAAGAAGAAGGGAATGAAAGAGTGTGACATCTTAAACGGATTGGCTTAGCGCATATGAAATGTCAAATTGTCAGCAGAAAAAAAGACAACCACTGAATCACAATGAACAAAGCAATTCATACTTCAGGAAAATCAAAAAAAAAGTTTCCAAAATGTTCTGAAGTTATTGAGCGAATGGATACGAATCCACACGTTTTCTTTGCGCTTCTGTCCAATTCAGACTATTGTTGAATTGGGTAAACTTGTCTTTGACAATCCATGTCTTCATTCTTCTGGTCATTATATTTGCAAAAGTGAGAGACACAGGTGACAGGATAAAAAATGTTCGTTTGGAAGAAAAGGTCTGCGTGTAAACATAAATAAATGAACATTAGGAAGTAACAAAATCGTTGCATTAAAAATTGATTGTTTTACAATACATAACAACGATTAATGAAACTGTGAAAGCCCCAAGAAGCAAACGTCTAGAGGATCAGAAATACGACCATACATATAATCGTTCTTGCAATGCAATGGTAACCGTTGTTTTCTCGAATTCATGGCTAGGTTTTCTTATTTGACTCTCAAAATGGCGCAGATAAACAATCCATATACAGAGAGAAAGAGTGATAAGACCTATGCTAAAGTAGAATTCGAAGATAACTCTTTTTGAATTAAAAGGATTTTTTTGAATCTGTACTTTTCTTGAAGTTTTTCAATAATACCAGCTGGCTGAGCGAAATGTATTAGTAGTCTTAATTGAACGTTTAATGAGGAAAAGAAAGAATGAGAGAGAAGCATTAGTAGTAGTATGAGAGATATGAAAACAGAAAAAAAAACCAAAATGTAATGATGGTGATGAGAGAGAAGCGCTTCAGTTTAAGAATCAAAAATTCCATGTTTGCCTCAAAGAAATAGAGCAAATGCCAAATGCTAGAAGCATGATGGTCGAATCAATAAAATTAAAAGCTAGAAATGTTGAATGTTTCAACATTAATATCTGTAAAACCAAGTCTTAATAGGCGTTTTCAATTGATTTTCTATGGTGCGATTCGTTCATGAGAAGAACTAGGCAGTGCCTACCGTATTAGAAAATTATAAATAGGTTAACACTCCTGAGTCAGAGGTAAACCTCTACCAGTTAAGAGCCAAAACAACTAATCCATAATGATTAGCCAGGCGGTAGTAAAGAGCAATTCGTTCGCTTCATTAACCGCATCTGCTACGAGTAGGAAATGAGCACAAGCTTCAAGCATCTTGGTAGAACATAGTGAATGCGTCAAGAGGTCAAAGGTTCATAAGTAAAAGTAACAAGTAACAAGCAGTATGAATGCTACGGTCTATCTAAACTCCAGATTTCATTGAATCTAATCTGATTTTAAAAAAAATAGCCAGTTATCCCGTACTATCTCTCTTTTATGCTTCAATGAAAATAAGGAAAACTATAAATGACAACTTGTTCCTACTCGTAAATTATCATTCATCAAACACTATGAGATCTAACGGAAACTATCTTATAAACGGACATGCAACACAAGAAGGATGAGCTTATCAAAATATTCCAGAACGCTACATATACCAGAAAAGGGAAAAGCCAAGAAGAAGAGTAGTATAGAGTCCACAATCGATGACAGACGTCAGGCAAGCAGAGACAAGGCAGAAGACGACGGACCTCGGGCCGCTCATGTAGTCGTCGTCTCCTGCTGTTGAGAATAAATGTCTCTTCAAAGCCTTGGGGTAAAACGACATGTCTGGAAATAGAAGCCTAGGCTCCAAGACACTCAATTGAACAGAATAAGATATGGCTGAGATGCAGTTTTGAGTGAACGGTTAAGGAATGATAGTTTATATCATTGAACTCATAACATTTGGAGAAATTCATTCAATCTTAAAAAATATGAAGAAAGTTTTCTTCTTCTAAATATTCTCTTATAATGTCAGCATGGGATTGAGATGCTCGAAAATAGATGTCTGAAAGAAATAAATCTCTGTCTGAAGCTTTTCCGCTTGCTTACAGACAGGATTTTTGTTAGCCAAAGGTAACTAACTTATATCTTCAATTTGAAGAGCATTTTTATAGTTTACCAAAACATTCTCTCTGCTCAGTAGAACGAAGATAAAACAAAATATGAGATTAGCAATTAAGCCATTCATGAGACTTTCGAAAGATTAAGATAAAGAAGCATCCCTGGTCATCATCAATTCCCAAAAGCTAACTTGATCCACGAGAATTTAGATTATGTGTGAGAACGTGTTGAAGAGGATAAAAATAAGACAAGTTTTCAATACTCTCAATTCTTTTACGGTCAGCAACTATACTTTATAATTATGGTAGTGCTCTACAATTTAAACTACCGATAATCAAAAGCATAGGTATCTCACAAGAACCTTTAGATTAGAAGAAGTAGACCTAAGATAAGATAATACTATCTACAAGTAACATTTGAATTATTCAGTTTCTGTTGATTGCTAGGGTCTAGGAAACCATCAAGTTTTCAAAAAGAATATGCTGAGCGGTGCTTGAAGGCTTATGCAATTCATTCAATTTCAGTAGATGCGAGCTCTCGTTGTAATACATCGAATGGTACACACGATAACATTAAAAACTTACTTGTTATCTCATTGTCGTCCATATCGTGTGAGCTTGAAGAGATAGGCAGCCGTCTTGAGCCATTTTCATTATTCCTTTCATTAACAGGATCTGTGGTAGACAATGGAACCGTCTGAGGAGCCAGGGGATTAGAATATGATCCATCTATGAAAGAACAATTATGAAAATTGAACAACTGTCGTAGTTTGCGGGTAAGTGAGGTCAACAAGTGTTAGTTTTGAAACGAAAATTTCCACGTATAACTAATTGATTACTTAACAAGATTGTATTGCTTTTCAAATTTGTTATGAAATTTGAGGGACAACCTTCCAGATCGTTCAACCGGTTTTTACGCTTGCAGTAAACAAATGAAAATCCAATGTAGTAAGCGGTTTATAGCTATAGCAAATAAAAATGTCTACTATCGATATTTTTTATGAAAAGGCCTTTTCCAACCAATGAAATCTTACCATTTGGATGATTTGAGATTCTAACTATAGGCTGAATCTCTATACAACGATCTTCGTCGGGAGTAGGCTTTTCCTCTCCTTCAATTGACATAATTGACTAATAAGACAACTGAAAAAATCTAATTAGTGAAGTAGAGGAAGTCGAGAGCCTTATCGGAGGTTCGTAACCGAGCGTGATACATGCATCGATAAGAAAAAATGATCAGAAATCTATTTATAATTTTTTTTATAATTTTTAACTTCAAGACAACAATAGTCATGGCAAAGGACAGCAGAAATAAAATAAGCCTGGGTTGTTTTCGATCAACTTGATAGAAGTTCTTGATAAAACAAGGACAAATGAACAGAACGTTGTGAACATTAGATATGTTTGACTATTGCTGGGAAATTATTCAGATAAAGTTTCCAAGGAAAGAAACTATTCTGAAACTTCATTAAGTTATGATCACAGATGTACAGGTGAAAGCAAATCATTACTAGATTGTTGCCTTACAGTGGAAGAAACAATTCTCTATGCTTTTTATGATAACAAATATACCAATTGCGTTATCAAACTTCTATGTTAAATCAAAGGGGAAAAAATTTGAAGAGATGCTGAGGAAATCGAACTATGTGCTCGCAAGACCGGCATCAACCAGCAAACACAAACACGCACACACATACACACATGAGATCAACATCGATTATTGGCTAAACGTTGTCTACCCTGTCGCTGCGAACAAAAAGCCCTCATGTGATTTTTGAAATTAAAAAATAGGTCTCCGTTTCGCTTAGCCATTCAAAAACTGCTTGATACTCTCGCTGTTGCCACCGAGATGAGAAATTATCATTTTTATTTTCTCGTTATCCAAGAATCGATTTCGCAGCATGTAGAGAACACCTGAAAATTCAACGAGTTTTCATTTTATTATTCAATTCGAAAATGAACTTTGAAGATGAGAATTAAATACTTACCAGCGAAAAACGTTAAAAGTGCTGATGTTAAGTATATTGAATCATCGTCTTCATCTATATAAATGATCAAAGGCTCTTCTACTTTTTGGACAACATTCTTAGATATCAAATCTGTTCTAGACGTCAACAGTTCCTGAACATTACACTTTCAGTTGTCCATTACACGGAAACATACATTTATTGCTGAACTGAAGTCAGTTCTACCTTCAGTCCGAGCAACTGCTACACCATTTACCCACAATAAGATTGTCGGAGTCCCCGATATTCCATAACGGGATATAATTCTGAAGCTTCAGAAAGGATAATCGGGTTTGAGATGATATTACCTGCTGAAATGAGTGATATTCACTGCCACAACTTTGATTGGCGAAAAGTTTTTGGGTACAGCATTAAAATATGGTGCCATTCTTTGTGAAAATGGACAGTTATGAGTGAAGAACATTCTGTAAATACGTATTTCATAACTACACCTAACCAGTAAGACTTACGTCAGCATGCACCAAGATCTTTTATATTCATCTCGATGTTGGATTATATTCAATAAAGAGGAAGTGTTGGCGAATTCTACTTCTCCTAGAACGTCCCCTTGGTTAACTAAAATGGAAGTTGTTACCCCTCCAGAGTTTGTAACTAATATATATGTCACGTGAGCTCTCCTACTATACTTAATTTTTCCCTTTTCAACCAATTTCAACAACTGAGTTTTTTAAAAATTAAAGATATTCACTAACATCCATGCTGACATCTGAATTTGATTTCATCGTATGGATCGTACATCACAGGATCAACGGATAGCTCATCGTACGAACTTGGACAAGTACTCGCAGTGAAGTATCTATGATTTAAACATTAGAACGTCGAGGATAACTCTTTACCGAAATCGTTCCTTCTGAGAAAAGTTATTGCAAGTAGGATAGGGATCTTCTTTGACTATATCGGATGATGTGAAGAAGTCCATCAACCCTCCATAACAAACTTTACATGATAAAACTAATATAAACAGATATAGCATTACCTGAAAAAGACATAGAAATAGAGGTCAGTCATATTTGATACTGTTGTCTAGTAGAGAGCTAGACAAAAACAATAACAAGCTAAGAAAAACTATACAAACAAAAAAAACTGATCATACCCGACATGAATAACATACCAAAAATGCTTAACCGATAAACGCCGAATTGCGTACAGAAGCTGGTTATACTTTGAAAAAACTTCTTTTCTTTTTTTTCTTTCACGCTGTGGGTGATTCAGGATGTCAGCTCTTGTTGCATACGGATCAGATTCTGATAGTGACAATGAAGAAGTTGCTGAGGTTTTTCAAAACTCTCTAATAGTTTGTATGAATGTTTAGGTTTCACAAACCAAAACTTTGAACGTTCCTGTGGGCTTCTTCGACGATGTTCAACCAGGTATAACACGCTTTTTCAATTGTAATGAGTAATCTTTCAATCTTTAGATCAATCAAGTGGTATACATGATGATGAAGAAGTTGAACTCGAAGATATTGTCAAACCCAAAGATTGGGAGCGGAAGCTAGCCAAAAAAAATAAGAAAGAGTTGGAGAAGCTTGTATGTTTTTCATTCGTTCTGTATTCATATTCGTATCTGTTCAGTCTGGTAAAGAAAAGAAGAAGGATAAAGAGCACAAAAAGAGTAAAAAAGAAAAACATGATAAGGATAAAAAGAAAAAAGAGGGAAAGGAGAAAAAGGCGAAAAAGGAGAAAAATGAACTTGTCAACGTGATTCAGAAAAAAAAAGGTGAGTAAAAGGATTCAAGTGAGGTTTTCATAATCGCACTCCAGAAAAAGCTAAAATATCTGCATTCGGAGCTTTGAAAGCTTTCGCTGACGAGGACAGTGATAAAGAAGACAAGGTTTCATTTTATTTTATTGTACCATTCTTCAATTGCAATTTTAGTCAATTTCTGTCGAACCCAAATTGAGTATACCAACTAAGAATCCGTCCGGCTTACTGTCTATGCTTCCAAAACCGAAAGTAAACCAAAAAGCGACTCTTAGTAACTTGAACGCTCCTGTTTCTGCTTCTCTCATACCATCATCAGTACGGCAGAAAAATGATGTGAAAGTAATTCATTTCGAGTTGTCATTTTGTACATTTCTCTTAAAGATGGTTGAGCCAACCCTCAAAAGAAAAGTTGAAGAAGACGATTCAGATGACGATGAAGCAATAGATTTCTTCGGATTATCTTCGCAGCCAGAGGTTTTCGAGTTTGAATTCAGTTCTATATTCTTTTTCTCAGCCTAAGATATTTAAAACGGACGTTGACGTACCCCTAGTTGGATCAAGCGGGCTAGATAGTAATATTGGTCCTGCTCGGCCTACTGTTAATGTATTAATCTTTTTACACTGAACGCATAATTACTGATATTTACAGGACCAAGTGCCTGATGATGAAGAGTATCCTGAGTATGATGATGTCGGACCATCCAAAGTTATTTCGAATGAGGTTTTGAATCTATAGAAGGAAAAAGTATTTTGCTTCGTTTCAGCAAGCTGTTAAACTACTCTCCCGGGATGAGACAATCCAGTTCATGGAGAGAAGGAGTCTCACAGATATTGCGTCTAATCTTCTGGAAGTTCGCGTGGACGATGTATTTTGATCTTCTTTATTGATGCTTTTTTCATTCATGTGTTCAGGCTTTGGGACCAAATGTGAAACAGAATCTTCTCAAAAGTATCACGAAGAAAGCCATTGTTAAGGATACAATGGCACCTCTTCCTAAGGCCAAAGGACCGGTTGATCCTAACGCTAGGAAAAAAAATCAAATTACTTATTTGGCGAATTTGGTCAGTTGACATTTGATTGATAATTTAAGCGTTTTATTACCACTCTAGGCTGTGGACAGAGAAGAGGCGTTACAAGAACAATGGTCAGAAAGCAAACAAATGAAGAGAATGACAAGACAGAAATATGGTTTCTAATTAAAATATTCACAGTCAATAAAACGTTCCCATGTAATGAGAAACATATATCAATACGGAAAGCTTAATGATTATATCCCAAATTACGGCTGATTATCTTGGCAACTATTTTATGCTCAAGCACCGGTTTTGTTACTGCGACAAGAGTTTGTAAACCTGAATTCTTAAAATAAACTGGGTTGATATGGATAAGCCGGACCTTTTGAATCAGTTTCATATACAGTTCTTTCACTGAGCCATGGTCGAATGGGTAATACCCTGTTCCTTTCAGGACGATCATAGTTCCAGGGTTTTTCATTTTCATCAGTAATCCCAGTGCATATCTCTCTCGGTTCGATTATAGCAAATGGTGCTTTTCTCTTGGTAGATTTAACAGAAAAACTCTCTTCTTTAACTACAGAGTCTTTGACTATTGCACTCATTGCTGAGCCGATATCTTCTTTCAAACTGCCTTCCTCGCTCGACAAAATTGTTTCAGTAGGAGATATTGTGAACTGAATAACATCCTCACTGAACCTCACCTATAATTACATGTACAGATAATAGTGAGCCGTCAGAAGATATACCTTCTTCTCGGGAATATTAAAAAATTCATTATAAGAATCAAAATTTCTTTCCTCTTCCTGAAACTCATGTCATAAACTCAGCTTGTTTTTAAAAACATACTATTTGAAAAGTTTTATTATCTGAGTATGAACTCTCTTCTTTCATTATGGAAAGCTCAGAAACAATTGGGCTACTGATTGGCGTTGAAGGCCCTGTTTTCTCTTTCTTGAATAATTGGGATAACATCAAGTAAGAAAAATGACTACCTCAGATATACTATGAGTATGCTCAATAGAAATATCATCTTGAGTGAGAAGTCGGAATACAGGTGGCAAATCTTTGAAAATATTGAAGTACTCCCCAGTCAGGCTTTTTTCTTCCTATAATTATGGTTAAGATAACGCGTTGTTCTCAGCTGGTTACCTCGAAATAATCAGATCTTCTTTGTGAAGTTCTTCGATGCGTTTTTTCTATAGTTTCTTCTACATTGTTGTTTTCCAGTTCCACCTGTTCGATCATGCGATTGTTGTTCGACTGTATACTGAACTCACATGAGGTGTAACAGACTCTTGCGATAAAAGCGATTCTACTTTAGACATCTCAAGATCAGACAAGCTACCCAACGAAGAGTAATCATTCACGGCCTCCATCATCTTCTGCCTTTGTGAAAGGAACTTCTATAGAAAAAAGAATATACACATATAATAAATAGTGTGGTTAACCTTTCCTACAGGTGCGATTCCTTTCACATCCTGACATTGTTGAAAAATGATTTCTGGATCTTCTTCCAAATCCCCAAAAGTTAGTCTTCTACTCATATCAACAACCGATTCACACAATAACAATCGATTTGAATGATGTGTCACAGTTAACACGTTCACGTGGAATATGCTAATTACACAACACAGAGCAAACATTTTATTGGAAAATAAACAGAAAAATATGAATTGATTACACAGATTTCTCGTGTTTCGATATATAACGCAGTAACTTTCTATCCTTAAGTTGAGGACACTCTGTTCTTTCTAATGTAGAAAGCCCTAAAAGACAATGAAGAGAATTCAAAGTTGCTGGATACCTCTTTCATCTATTGAGTAGAATGCATGTTCTCCAAGCCATGGTCGAAGAGGCATTACTCGTGATCTTACTGGACGATGATCGCTTTCACTCCTCTCTGTGACAAGAAAAAAGATTTAGGAAATGAAAAATACACGAACTTATATCCCTCGTGAGTAGAATCAAGAAATCATGTCTAAGTTTCGGTTTTCTTTTGATTTTCGGCTATAAAGTAGTATGGTTGTGATTATTTTCTATGTTTCCAATCTAATACCTCATTAACAAAAACAACATTATCGTCGATAGGGAGCAACTCCTAGATTGATAAACTAATAATCATACGTTTTGAACCAGAGCAAACCTCAATATTTCTGTTGTTACGAGTCTGATCAATGTTCTTCTGAAAAAAAATTTGAAGCATGATATCTGTACAAAAAAGCACGAACCCGTGCTGATGGCTCCAGAATACCGAGTTTCTTTACTGCAGGAATGCTATTGAACGGCTTGGTGACAATTGGATTTCTGGGATTTTTCATTTTCGGACAATGGCAAGCAGGCGATCCTTCCGCGGTTTGAAACGATATACTAGCATTTATAGCTTTATTCGCAGAAGATAATGTGGACCGGAGATAGTTGGGAAAATGAGTTGGGGTTTTTGGTGATGTTTTAAACACCTGTAAGCACTGTTTACCACTCGGCAGAAAAATTTTAACCTCAGACGCATCCACATCCATGATAAAGGGAGTATGAGAGCTATCTTCCATCGGGAAAGCGAATAGCTCTGCTGTATCATTAGCTCTCTAAGAAAGAATTTCATATGCTAAATAGGAAAAAAAATTCTCAACTGATTCTTTTTCAGGAACAAAAATAACATCTTCGTACGCTTCCTGTATAGGAACTGGAGGGTATATCCCAGTAATCTACAAAATAGGAGGGACTGTACTGAAAATACTCTTTGTCAAACAAACTGTATTGAATTTCGCTAATGGAGTGGATGTGAAAGAAGTTAATGGTTTTTTCGATATCGGTGTTGTAGAATTAGGACCGACATTTCTCTGTTCAACAAGATTAGAATAGTTCAATCAGACTAACCGCATTTTCGTCTATATAAAATTTGGGAGGTTGCTCTACGAAAGGATGAAAAGGTCCGATAGCACTTTCATCCTTAATGAGTTTATAACAATTTCGATATAGTTATCAGTCAAACGTTGAAATACTTTCGTCGTCTGGAAGCGTTTGACTCTTGTTTTTTCTCATTGTGTGGCGTGGTAAACATGCTTATGTAGCTCTAGGAATGAATGAATCAGAGTAATTATGAAAATCATCACACATACATTCTCAGAGTTCTTGAACGAGATAAAAGATTCGCTCTCATCCTCGATTTTGATACTACAACTTGTTCTGACTTCGGCAGTCATGATTCTGAGCTTATTGCTTCGACGTCACTAGGACAATACGACCGGTTCACACGGGAGTTCGTGAGAGAATAAAATTCGGTGCATATTTTCAAATTATAAACTTTCGGTTAGAAAGATAAGACATAACTTTTATTTAAGTTATTCGTCATCTAATTTCAGATTCTTTCCTGATGAACTCTACAATAGATAGCTATATCTTGGTCAAGCCATCCGAATCGATTGAGGTAACTCTTCAGAAGTTAATATCTCGCTGATGTTTTTTGAATTGCACTCATAATCAATGAATGCATATAAATATATCAGATAACCAATAATTATCAAACCTCTAGGAGAACTGTTTGATACCAAGTATCATCGCAAATTCTGTTTATCACAAAGTGTACGCAATATTCAACCATTAGTACGTACTGTTTTTTTGGATACTTATTCACATGTTCATTCCCAGTTCACGGTTGCTATAACATGAGTAACTCTTCTTGCTAATCATTTTCAATCTGTTAGCTGCTTTGTTATAGAGTCCCGTATTATCTCTCCAATGACATCGCTTGGGAATAAATGATGCATACTGGATTTCAATCCCGTAGACCGAGGACTTTTTCCTCAAGCAGGTATCCCGACTTGTATGTGGCGAAAAATATGAATCTTCAGTCTTGATCCTAATGAAGATCCAGTTACTGGTCTCGAGCGCGTTGCCTCAATGTCGAATGTTAGCGAATTATCTAGAAGAAGACGTCAAGTAACAGTTAATCTTTTACTTGGATGATATGTAAAAGTTACAGGAAGAGGAAGAGTATTTGAACCGGAGACAAAGAAGAGTATCGCAACCTGATGATGACCATTCAACACTATCGTCGAAATTTGAAAGCTTAAATTATGAAATTTGCGAAAACGAAATTTATCGAGAAGAGGAAAAAAATCCAAAACACTCGGTAAAAATATTTAAACTCTCTAATTTATTTTAAATCTCAGTTGTCTCTTTTCACACAAGCTCGAAATAGATGGTTCGTATGTTTCATAGTAGGGGTTGCTACAGCCCTTGTAGCATCTTCTATCGATATTCTGATTCATTACAGTAAAGAAGTCAAGTTTGATTTCATTCTAAAGAACTGTCAGTTTACGTATTTTTTGTGATTGAACAATGATTGTTCAAGTAATGTCAAAGTGTGATCAACAGTACGAGCCCACCGGTGAAGGATGTATGTGGATGGTTCTTGCTGGATGGATATCATATAATTGTGTCCTAGTTTTAATAGCGGCCATGCTTGTAAGATTACCTTACTTCAAGAAGTTTACTAACTATTGCAAAGGTTATTTACGTATCTCCTGTTGCTGCGGGTTCTGGTATTCCACAAGTTAAGTGTTATCTGAATGGAGTTACCATACCTGATGTGGTGAAATTTAAAACTCTGGTTGCTAAATCAGTTGGAGTCGCCTGCTCCGTAGCTGGTGGATTATGCGCTGGAAAAGTATGTTGAACAAGATTCAGTTCGAATAACAACTTTTTCAGGAAGGGCCTATGATCCATTCTGGAGCAGTGGTGGGATCTACTCTGTCTGAAGGCCAATTTTTTGGTATTTCCACAGGATTTTTGAAAGAATTCAAAAGTGACAGGTATCATTCGTTTTCTGCGATTCTAACACCTCTTTTAATTAAGAATTAAACGGGATTTTGTAGCTGCTGGTGCAGCGGCTGGAGTATCTGCAGCTTTTGGAGCCCCAATCGGTGGAGTTCTCTTCGCTCTAGAAGAGGGTTCTAGTTTTTGGAATCAAAACTTAACCTGGCGCTTAGTAGGTATAACCATGATTTACAGGATATCTGTATCAGTTCAGTTTTTCACTGCAATGGTTTCTTCGTTCACTCTGAATTGTGTTCTAAGCTGGTTCTTCGGTAAAAGTGGATGGTTGTCATGGTCCGGACTTGCCAACTTTGGAGTTTTTGAAGTAATCATACCTCTAGCCTATAATTATTTATAAGCAATGTTTTTCTCAGAACAAAAACTACAATATCTGGGAAATACCTTTCTTTTTGTTAATCGGTATTATCGGAGGTCTTACAGGTGCTCTGTTCAATCACCTGAACGGGAAAATTTCAGTCTTCCGAAAAAAGTAAGAGAGAGTTATATTCTTAGTTGTATTTGTTACAGATATGTTGCTAACAAGTTTCAAAGATTGCTTGAATGCTTACTTGTAGCCGCAGTTTCGGCTTTTACCGGGTTTGTAACTCTATTCCTGGTTGATGACTGTAAGGCTGTTGGAGTGAACCCTAACGTTACATCTATAAATCAGGTATTTCTGTTCTATTAGGCTATTTTAGAAAAAATTCATCATAGATGTGGTGTAAAAAGGGGGAATATTCTGCTGTTGCCAACTTATTCTTTGCCAACCCTGAAGATAACGTGAAAAGTCTTTTCCATAGCCCAATCAGTAGGATTCAATGATAGCTGCAAAGTTTAAAATCGCATTTTAAGATTCTTATCTCCCTTCCACACTTATCATTTTCTCCATCCAATATTTCTTCCTAACTCTGTGGACGTTCGGAATATCAGTACCCTCTGGCGTATTTATACCCGCGCTATTAACAGGTGCAGCGTGGGGAAGACTCTTCGGTATCGGGGTTGGAAGAATGTTTCCGAGCATAGTGGGATGTAATTTCACTGTTTTTTTAAACTTTTGGATATCAGACTGGTATTGATCCAGGGAAGTATGCATTAGTTGGTGCTGCAGCTCAACTTGGAGGCCTGGTACGAATGACCATATCATTGACAACTATCATGATGGAAGCGACAAAGGTTATTTCAAGTGTAGAAGGTTTTTAAAATCAAATCTTAGGACATCACATTTGGCTTGCCTATCATGTTAGTTCTCATGACAACAAAATGGGTTGGTGATCTGTTCAATGAGGGATTGTATGATACTATTATAAATTTACAAGAAATTCCTCTTCTTGGTTGGAATCCTCCCAAAATGAGCAGAAATATACTTGCTGAGTTAGTTCAAATTTGAATCATCTAGTATATTTCGCTTCAGGAAAGTTATGCGATCTGACGTCATCGCTTTGGAGGAAAGAGAAAGAGTAAACCGTGTCCTCGAAATTCTGAGAACAACTAGTCATCATGGATTTCCCATTGTTGATAGAATTGATGAGTTCACCGATTCTGATGCGACAAACTTGCCTGATTATGGACATCTCAAAGGCATCATTCTCAGATCCGATCTCATTTCGCTATTGAAAAACAAGGTAATCATTGCCACCTCTTATACACTTTATCGGCACATTAGGTCTACTATGATGATCAAACTGATCCAGATGCAAGGACAGTCGATTTAACGACAGACAAGTACTAACATGATTTTTATTTTAAAAAAAATGATTTTTTCAGTGATTTGAACTCTTTAGAAATACCTGCGAGTGATATGGGATGTTGGATGTACTTCAAAAGATACATGCATCCTCATCCTCATCGTGTGCCTTTAAATGCTTCTCTTCCATTCATATTCCGCCTCTTCAGAGGTCTTGGACTTCGTTATATCGTAGTCGTTAATGATGAGAACAGGGTGATCTTACTACTACGTAAAAACAAATTAATCTTTTTTTTTTAGCTTCGGGGTATAATTACTCGCAAGGATGTTGCTCGCTTCAGAGAGAAAAGAGAGAATAAATCGTACCGCGTTGAGGAGCTTTTTATTTCAGAGGATACCCTTTGAAACAAATTCTTTATGGCTGTATATAGTAGAAACATAGTCGATCTGTAACGTTCAAAACGTTTGGATTCTCTAATGTTGCTGAATCTTGGCTAGTTTTTTTCTAAATATAAACTATTTATTTAAGATTGTGTTGGTTTTAAGTTAGTTTATTGCAACCTTTTAGATACTCCAAGAAATGTTTGTACATGGGGTGCATGACATATTTATAACATATATCAAACATGATAACACAAGGAAAGTAGAGCATTTAGCATAATAAGCGGCAATGTTCCATTCATCCAACTGCTTGGATCTTCTGATTAGAAATATATGTTTAGAAATGCGAATACGGTTGCGGTCGGAAATATTAAAGATAATTTTGAGAAAATCAGAGTTCTTCATGCTTACCACATGAATGAACTGTTGCTCTTTCGTTAGATCGAACTATCTTTCAAGCACTACTAACTGAACAAAGTTTAATGGATTGAATTTCAACATACCTTATACATCTGATTTTTATTGTTACGTGCTCCAAGACTCTAATCAGAAGTTATGAAACAATAAGTGATAACAGTAAAATTAACCGTATATTGTTCAAGTATCCACGACGACAGTTTTCGTAACAACCCTTGCTATCGGGAGACCATTCGAAACTGCCGCAAAATTGTTTGCGCGCCAAATTATGGCGTTCAAATGTCGATACCCGAAAAATGTGTGAACGCTGTTTATATATTATTGATTTATAATTTATCATGTTTTTTCATGAATTTTGAATTCAAACTCTAATGAGCTTCATTGATCTTTTTCATTTTTGTTATTTCAGAATTTTGAGGCGGTCATACCCATGACGCTGACGCCTTCACACAAATCTTCGTGTTTAGACGAAGATGTGATGCTTCGCTCACCTTCTCCTCGTAAATCTGTTATGTTAAATTTTGATTCACCATTATCAACTAGAAAGGTTTGCATATTTTTTATTTTTTTCCATTTTGTTGTTTTCTAAAGGCACGATGTACTCCTTCGAGACTAAATTTTTCGGCTTCTCGTGTGGCGAGAACAGCTCCAGCTATTGTTCGATATAGTTCGAGACGATTTTGCGCACAAAGGCCAACTAGAATATCGTTTAAGCATCCTGAGTTTAACGGATGTAAGTTCATATTTTGTTCTTCTTGTTTTATTCCGTGTTGGTAGGTCCTATGAGTAGTCCTTGCTATGATAGCAAGAAGAATGCTTCTTATTTTGAACAATGTTTTGTTACCGAAACGATGTTAGGTTCCGGATCTTTCGGAGAGGTAAGCTAAATATTAGTATTTCTTTGATAACTTCTGATTACATTAGGTTTATGGAGTCTACTCTAAAGAAGACGGTAAACGTTATGCCGTTAAATGTGCTATTGAAACATTCCGAAACAATTCGGATCGTTTACTTAAGATCAGGGAAGTGGAGAAACATGAAATGTTAAATCCTCATCCCAATCTCTTGCGATTTCATCGTGCATGGGAAGAGAAGTGAGTTTTTCTCTTAGTGCTTTATTTCGAATTATGTTTTTCTAATTTAGGGGGAGATTGTATATGCAAACTGAGCTCTGTAAGACTAATTTATCTAGTTTTTGTGAAGGTAAAACTTCAACAGAGGTTGTATGGAATTGTTTTATGGATTTATTAAGCGTAAGCACTTATTAGTTTTTTGAGTTAATTTCTTGCTTAGGCTCTTGATCACTTACATAGTAGTAATCTTATTCACCTGGATATTAAGCCGGATAATGTACTTTTAACCGAAGAAAATGTTTGTAAGTTAGGAGATTTTGGACTAATGTTTGATTTAATGAGAGTATGGTTTCAACTCTTGATTCCTCTGTTAAATACCTGATCTTCAGGACCAACTAAATACCGCAGAAGAGGGAGATAGCAAGTATCTTGCTCCCGAAGTTTTAAACAGCGCCCCAACTAAAGCAGCTGATATTTTTAGCCTAGGAATAACAATATTACAAGTAAGCTTTTTTCTTAACATGTCTATTGGTTTTATTGCATTTTCAGGTTGCGACGGGTATTCACCTACCTTCTCAAGGTTCTGAATGGCACGAGTTGAGAGGCGGTGATATTCCCGAGAGGTATTTAAGAGGTGGCTTACAAGTTGCTATGATTTTTAGATTACATTGTCTTTAGGTATCCCTTCGGAGATGAGGAGGTTAATACTTTGGATGCTTTCCCCAAATCCTGTTGAGCGACCAACAACGACCCAATTAGTAAAAGACGAATCAGTAGGGACTCGAATGAGTGAAAGAAAAATGCAATTGAGGATGATTAACGTGGTTAGTTTTTTTGTTTTTTTTTATATTTGGAAATCGGGATGAGCTAAAGTTCCTCAAGGGGGTTGGGTGAAAATAGAGTGAGGGATGGCAGAACAGTTCGCTTTTTCTTAGTCGCACCTTCAATGACTTGATTCTGGCCATTCCAGAAATCATCGACATTAAACTGCATGCATGTGGTGTGGTTATGGTTTGCTGCTTTCTGTAGCTTGTTAAAAACCTGGGGTGCTATGTTATTAGAAGCCCTGAAGCGTGAGAAAAATGAAGTTTGTAGAAGAAGTTCTCTATTCGCCGGAGATCTGGTTAGCAAAGTTCTCGATTTTTGTATTTATCCTTCGTTTTTCAGAGTGAGTCACCTGAAAAGATGGAGTACGATTTAGACATAACCCAAAATGCAGATTGGAGCTTCAATAACTATGGTAAGTTCACTGATTACTGTTCTTCTAATGCATTTTGTTAAGACTTGCAACCTGATTTCGAGGAGAGGCAAACAAAAAGCGCTTATCCCATCAGACATCGTTATGGATTATCACCTTATTCTCAAGCAAGGCAGAGGTCGAGGTGTTTATTTGATGACGATACTCGTTCTTCTTCGGATGATCAGAGCTGTAGTCCTGAAAACTCAGTATCGGATCAAATGGAATTGTAATTTATTTATAATAATTGCGATTGATTTTCATTTTTCTCAGAAGGACGTCTCCGGAAATTCCTGCAGGAGATTATGTTGTTCATAACTGTGGGGCCATTTCTCGACAGATAGCAAGAGAACTTGGTTCAGGTGATTGGTCGCCAACACGGGATTTATTTGGAAGTAATTTCGACGAAGATGAGTTAGATAATGAACGTTGTCGTTTATATAAGTATGTGCTAGTTCTTTTTAGTTTCACTAAGTTAATTATTTAGATGTTATCGCGTAGTACCTGAACGGGTGCCGCTTCGAGAACGAGTTCGATTTGGAAAAGTACGGCCGATTCCTAGAATTAACTGGAACTTACTAGATTCCCCATCCCAATCGAGTGAGTGTCTTGATCTCGATGATAGCTCGAAGCAGCCTCCCCGCAAATCAATTAGACAGAAGAGTCGAAGGGTTCGTTCCCAGATTTGATACCGCCCCATAGAGCTTTCTTCAGATTTGTGACTCCACTAGTTCAGCCGAAGAATAACTGCATGTTTCTTTTCCGTATTGAGTCTTATCAACTTGATATGGTTATTGTAGATATTGGTATTAGATTTAATTATTCTTGTGATTATTTCTTTTGCAACTAGTTATTCCATTTACTTGCATTTTAGTCATACTGGTAATTCTCGCAAAGTTTCTTAACTGGTAATCTCATACTATGAAGATAGAATTTTTATGTAGTGAATTTATGTTACTGACTACTCAGTATTGCTGTTTTAAAGTAACAGTATTTTGAATGAGCAAGTACTTGTGCAACATGCAAAAATGTATTAGATTGATCTCATGTGTCATGACTATATTTGCACGCATTTGTTTTGCTTTTTGTAACCGATGAAAATGTTAATAATATTTGCTTGATTGAAATTATATGTAATATCGATAATTATTTTTTTACAAGAACTGTTATGATCAATTTGAGTTACAAAAGTAATAATCTGAACTTCGCAACGTGTTTTCATGCAATGCAGTTACCTTCATAACTTTATCTGCTGTAATCATTCTATCTGTTACAAATTTAATGTTTCGATTATAATTGTCTTCTAAAACTCGGAATGTGGAATGATAAGGCATTTTTGTTGGAAAGACAAGGCAAAACTAAATCTTTGAGACATACACAAAAATTAGGCTGACAAATGAAAAGGGAACGCTTCTAACAAGGACTTTCTTTTAAGCTTTCCGATGTTCTTTCCATTTGTATACTTCAAGCCATATACCTCTTCTTCTATAATTGCCTGTTCTCTTATAAACTAGTCATTCAACTTATGAATTCAGTTGCTGAAAAGCGTCAAGATTTATTCATATCTCGTAAAATTCAAATTTTTCAGTTTTCGATTCGCTAGTCGAGTTGTAACAGATATGGATTCGAATCGAAAGTTAGGTGTCAAAGAGCACTACTATACTCCATTCACAGTCACTTATTAAAACCAATTCTTCGCAACTTTCTTTCATTTTTATATTTTCTTTTCTTTTAACAAGATTATGTCATCGACCGGTTTTCGCTTATGCGCTACAACCTGTGGCTAACAACCAGATTAGGCCTGCATACCCTATTCGTTCATCTTTTTTGTACCAGCTTAGGCGTAGGTCGATTGTTGACAGTCTGATAAGTATTGATAGTTATAGTATTCCTTATACGACATTCTTTTCATAGATTCGAAAAATTATGCCCTCTGCCCGCAAATAGAATATTCGTCCAATCAATACTCTGATAAACAAGTTTATCTCTCCCATCATTCTGCCTTCAATCGTTAATTCCACTTATTTAACTTAATTCTTATGATATTTTAATTGACATTTATGTTATATGGAGTCCTTGAGAGACGACGTCTCTGCTTTAATTCTCCTCTTCTCGCTATACAACTCTGAACGCTTTTATAATAATCTGTTCATAGCCTAATTGATTATGCATTCAATATTTCTATTTTAACTCTCTGTATTTACTGCCTACTTTCATCATCGTCATTCCATATACTGCGAGTATTATAGTTCGTCGGAGAATTTTCTTGAAACATATGTAAAGGTTGTATCTATGGTGACCTCTGATGACCTGTCCCTGCTTATTTGCCTTCTCCAATCGTTTACCCATAGGATTGCTTCATTTTCTAGCCGTTGTGCTCAAAGCTCGCTATTGCTTACATGTTGAACGACAGAACAATCAGAAGCTTATTTTAATAAGTATATTTGATTACATATGTTTATACTTGCTGGACCTAGTGTCTCTCCGTATTATTTGCTGCTTTTGCTTACTCTTCAACTTACATCTTATCAACTTCATTCTTCATACCACTAATTCTCTCAGCTTGTAAAAACATCATTAATTCTTTCACTAAAACGTGCGAACAACCGTAATTCAATCGCTTCTTCATTCTCAAGTTTCAAACTGTCACTGTCAATTTGAAAATTTGGGCCTGTTCGAATTCTCACCTCCGCTTCTTGGTATATTCGTCACTAGTTTAAGACATAATTTCGGTTTTAATACTAAAAGATTGATTGAATTTTATCGTTAACATTGAGTTTGTTCTATAATTCACCGTTATCTTCCATTACAATCTTATCTTGTCTAACCTGAGCATGTCGGTGCTTACAACGAATGTAGCTTTGCTAATTCCTGTGATAATAACTTACTTGTTATTCTTATAATGGTTCATTATTGAACTACTATTACAACCGTTCTTCATATCTGCGAGGATAGTAATGTCATTTATCGACCGCTCCCAAATGATTTGAAACTAAAAGTGATTTTTACTGCGCGTTGTGTGAGCCAATCAATAGACAATTTTTATGCTAATCTCTCAAACCTGTTAATTTTTTCTACGAATGACATGCCAAACGTTTTCCGTTTATTTTTCTAGATAGTCTTAAGCCTCCGTCCCAACTTGCGTTCCAATATAAGATTTTTGAAGTGGTAGGACACATCCGTTCTCGATTATGTTTGTTCTTGTAGGCAGTATATTTGTCGGAAGAATGTTGTGCATTTTTTGGCCTATTTATTCACTTTAACGCAATTAGAAACTTATTTTTTTGCGAAAGATTCTTCAAAACACGGTGTGTGTGACCGTTTAACATAAATTATGGTTCAGTGTATCAATGTATTACTGTCGGCATTCACCTATTATCTCTCACGCTATTCTATTTGTTCAATCTGCTTGAATTGATCGCTCATCTCTGCCATTTAGAATATTTATCCTTTGCTACTCATCCTCTTTGTGTTATTGCGGTTTGCATTGATTCCTCATTCTGTTCATTTCGATAATCAGTCAATGCGAAGTTATTCTTCTTATGATACTTGCAATTTATTGCTGATTCATTGATGAAAATTGCCTAAGGCATTTGTGTTTCTGAAGTGAATCTGTTATCTCGATATCATTAATCATCATTGGTTTGGTTTGCTTGTGTTAAGATTTCAAGTTTTCTGCTTTCCATCTAACATATTCCTTTCTTTATTACAGTTTCAAATAAAAAATGGGTCAGTTACCTGACGATGCCCCAGCTCCAAGACTCTGTTACATCACTAAAAACGCTCCAACTCAGGTTTGTTAAAAAAATTTTATTGAAAACTTTTGTTGCTTAGGAGTATGGCTACAACTTGCACGCAGAGAGAAAACGTGGACAGCTTGTAGGAGAAGTAGATAAGGGTTCTCCTGCTGATATAGGAGGGCTTAAAAAAGGAGACAAAATTTTCGCTGTAAATGGACATAGTATAATTGGGGAAAACCATAAGCAAGTGAGTAGAAAAATAATGAACGTTACCTAATAAGTTCACAGGTGGTACAACGAATCAAAGAACATCCAACTCACTGTGAAATGCTTGTTTTGGAACTGGCGAATTGCGAATATTATAGTGATCGTAATATACCAGTTACACTAGCATTGCCGAATATCGTCCGAGTAGAGGTATTACAGCTTCTTTCTTTTTTTAAATGCTTTTTGCTTCAGAAGAAGAGCGAATCGAACGGCAGTGTATCAAAAAGTTTTTCATCCCATCACAAGGTATGTTATGCATGGTTTCACTCTCGTTTAAGTACAAACTCATAAGGAATTGTTTTCGACTTTTGTGTCTTAGTCATATTTTTCTGACTCAGAGCGCTTACTTCTTACGGGATTCTTTTTCTCACGCGTTGACCTCAGTATGAGCATGAAAAATTGTTAAAGATACTATTTGAATATTTGTTCTCTTTCGTCACATCCCATTTTGGAAAGTTAGCTGTGAGAAGTTTATAATCAAATACGCTCAAAGTTATGATCTATGCAGACCAGTCATTGTTTGAATAATGAGCTATGATCTAACTTTGAGTCACAAATACATTGTCTTCCTCAATCTAGACAGGATGCTGTTCCTGCTAGCTGTTATTCTGTTTTCTTGCATTCTTCTAAAGTTGATGAATGATGATGCTCGTAGAAACATCAATAATGAGATGAAACAAATAGTCTCGTTTGATGATATTCTTAAGGTAGGTAAATATTAGTTTTTTAGAGTTGTTTTTCTCCTTTTATCAGTTTTTAAGATCATTCTTCTTATTCGTTTCTATATTACTAATTCTTCTTGTAGCTCCGAAAAAGGATGATAGAAGATATTCTAACGTTTGTTTGATGACGTGTATATTGGTTCAAACCAATAGGTTATCGCTTCAATTGAAAGGAGCTGTTTATATGCAAATAAGGCTTTTGTTTGATTATGCAACTGTCCTAAGTCAAATGAGAACAAGCTTCATCTACACCTCTCTTTCTGTCTCTGATTCCTTGCGCGTTTTCTCCTATTGTATGAAATTTTATAAAAAGCCCTTATCAAGCTCTCGCACATCTCCGGACCTTGATAATATATTGGTCTTTCGTTTTTCTTATTGTTGGATCAATTTTTAAAACTCAAAACCATTCATTGTGTATGTGTATACAATAGTAGATTTTCAATCCCCATTCACATCATATCTATTACGTGGTTAATACCAGATATTCATATCCAACTTATTCCGATTCTGTGTTTGCCCACAAACTTCTGAAATCTCATAAACTTTCACTTTTGATTAAATTAATTCCTTTCCCGCTTACGTTCATCGTATATAGGTCTATTACTCATTAACTTTTATGAGATTTTAGTGAAGCAACTTAACATCTCCTAATGCATTTGATATACCTAGTTCCGATCACAAAGCTGAATATAACACATCTGCTATTTACAGAATCCAGAGCCTGTCTTCGTTGCTCCCCCTCCTCCACACGACAGTCACTTCGACAATATGAACAAGCCACGCGCTACTCTTTGCAAACTGGTAAGCTTCAAACTCCTTTTTGATCATACCAACACATTGAGCTTTGAACTTTTTCAATTTTCTTGTTGTTTTAGGTCAAGACCTCTCCAACTTCTGAGTTTGGTTTTAACCTTCATGCCGAGAAGGGGCGAGGCCACTTTATTGGAGAGGTTGACCAAGGAGGGATTGGTGAGAAAGCTGGTCTTCTTCAACATCAAAGAATCGTTGGAGTGAATGGACAGTTAATCTATCCATCAACTCTTCATAAGGTTGGAGCATTAAAAAACTTTACCAAAATTAACTATTGCTCTAGGATGTTGTTCATCTAATCAAATCATCTCCTCTTTCCACCACTCTTTTGTTGGCCTCTGAAGATGTAGATGAGTGGTATAAGAAACACAATGAAGAATTTTCTTTTGCTCATTCAGTTTCTGGGGTAGCCACCCAAGAAATAAGTCCTCACGTAAGTCAACCCCAACTTGACTATTTTAACAAGTTCTGGTTTTTTAGAGTATTCAAATTGCTGATGATGAGCTTCCTTATGAAAAGGTCTGTTTTACATTTATTTTTTTGAAGCTTTCTTACATGCTGCTTTCCTAAGTTTTAACATTTTGTTTGGTTATAGCTTGAAGCAAAACAAGCTCAATATGATGAGCCTCCTGAGATTGAACCATCGGCTCCAGAAGAGTATCCTGTTCCTCATTTACGTACAGCTCCAGTAGAACTTGCTACTTCTGATGTTGTTGGAACTGAAGTCATTAATGATGATATACTTAACGCTATTTTCTCTGGCATAGACAGCTATGACCATGTTATGACATCACCTGAGTTATCTCGTGAAGAGAGAGCTGAGACACAAACTTCAATAGTCAGTCATGAAGGACATTCTCGCACTCATTCCGTCCAAAGCTTCGACCACATCTCATTGGGACGTGAAAGTGCTGTCGACGTCCCCAAAGTATGTTTCTGGCAGTCTTTTTGTTTTAATCACCGCTTATTATTGGCTTAACACTTTCTGTTTTTGTTTTTAGTGAATTTGTTGAAACAAGGACTATCTTAGAATTGATTAATTAAGTTTCTGTTTCAGTACGACCCTTACGCTTTCAATAATGCGGAGAAGCAATCCGGCTATTTCCCGTCATCGCATCAATCCAATACGTACAGAAATCACAGTGGTGCGTTATCAACATTGAAGTCATTGAATAAACCCATATTTTTTAGCCACACCCTCTGTGGATGATAGTGACATCTTCCATTTGTCAGCTAAAGAAGCTCGTGAGCGTTTAAGACCAAAGAAAGACCGAAGAGGACTGAACATGACATTGGACGAAAAATATCGTTTAGTCAGCAATATGTAATCGGTTTGGAACTTAATATATCTTCTATCACATCATAGAAGAGGACATCCTATGTTCAACCATATTAATCAGTACGTTTTCGTAAAATGACATTCCCTTATTCACTAATGCTCAACTAATCGTATCCAGTTGCAAGTTCAACTTCAATCTTCGTTTCCGCCTTTGTGTGCCACCTATTGCCTTATTATTTTGTATCGAAAGCCTTAGCTAGTCCTCTAGCCAAATATCTGAGTGTTTCTGATTCCTTATCATTTCCAACAATGACTGTTTGTGCAATTCTCCGAAGTGTTTTCTAATATTATAAATCTTTATTTCTATCTATTCCCTTCCAACGTTTTACTGCACATAAAATTTTTTTTGAGAAAGTTTTGTTTAATTCTCCTCGGCGAGCAGAAATAGCCAGAAAGGTGATTGAAGATTAGTTTCACCATATATTTCTTTTGTTAGTGAACTATGTAACGTCTTGAATTTGTACTTCAATACAATAAAAGATTAACTATCATTTATTGAATCTATCTTGTATCATGAACTTCGTCCAAGCTTTCTTTATATGATCTTCCAAAAACAGAACCATCCTGTCTTCTTTCAAGCTGGACTCGGGGGGATCCAGAACTTTTCGGTTGAGTATAACTATCGATATCACTGAGACTGGCAGAAAACAAAACGACACAAAGAAGTAGTTGAACAACCCATCAAGGAAAGCATCCTAAATCAACAAATTAGTCAACATCAGCAGTCTCGACGAACCTTCAGCGTTTTAACAAAAACCTGAGCTGATGCTACTAGCACTCCGTTTTTGGTACATTCATAAATACCGCTATCCTCAACAGTCAATGGCCATATACCTCAAATCCAATAAATCTATTGGTATTGTACACGTGAAGCACATACTTAATCTGCTTTGATCGTCTATTGTCACTCTCCAATCCAATAAGCCAATTTCGATTTTATTGGTGTTGACAAACCAAACGATTTCGAAAGTCTATAAGTATTTCATTGTTGCAACAGAAAACTCAGTATCAGAACTTCATTTTTATATATTTCCCCACATGATACTTCCAATAGAGTCCCAGCGAGGAAGTTATACGTCTCACGAGTCCCATCAATTTTTATTGAATCTATCGACTGTTGTCCTGAACGGTAGATTTTCACACTCAACTGTAATGAAACGAACCCATCGTGATAAGACTCAATACTTTTCTTTTGGATCCTCTTCCAAACAAAGATGAACTTCGCTTTCTTTTTTTTTTCTTTTTGTCTCTCTTGAAAAATGAGAATATACCTTTGTTCTCTACTACCGGAGCTGCTGTTCTGAAACAAGTCATTGAGAGAACTCATAGGCATACTGATTGTTCGACGTTGTAGTTAAAGGTGGACATCGTCCTTGTGATACTCGAATTTCTCTCTCTAGTTTATTCAAGAAATTGCATTCAACATCCCATTTCAAAAATTCTCTGAACTTGTTGTACTTATCGGCCACCTTATTCGAGAGCTTTGATTTCATACTGTCAAAACTGCTCAGCGTAGTGGTCTAGAAAGTATTTCTGGCTGTTTCTACGATTACTTTATTACCTCATTAGTACAAATGGAACTTTTAATCTGTATCACAATGAAGATTACAAACAAAGTATTGAAGCGCATGAGAGCAGCGATTCCAGCGAGAATCTTCAGTCTCAAATTCGAAAAAATTTGCATAAGTTCGAAAAATCGATAAATGACTCGAAAACAGGTGAAACATCCAGGCAAAACTACTTCTTCGACTAGACAGTTTCTGAGCAATATAAGAAAACTCGTTTTATTCCATAGAAAGGAGTGATTGAGACAAATTTTGAATAGACACAGCGTCTAATTACATGGGCTATAGAGATCATCGTGTAGTGAAATGAGTTTAACTCGCAGTGAAACCATGGGGCTCATTCATGGGAGCTATGGTCTGAATCATAATCCATCAAGTGTTCAATATCTTTGTCCTTGTTTTCAAGCAAGGTGTAGACTTTGATGGGGGGATAAAATGTGTAGATATAAACTGATATAATAACCAGTGAAACACCGAGTGCTAGCATAGCAGATGGCACTCGCTCGCCAATCATGATGGAAATGACTGCCGTGATACCTGCAATTGGATACATTAGAAATTCAACTAATTTTGTACCAAACCTATAGCTATAGTTTGACAGTACGTCTTCTTTACGTTATCTGCATACTTTATTACTAATGAAGTTGTTAATCCACCAAATGCGTTAAGAATCGTGATGAGCCATACCAAGTCAGTCCACCCTTGGAACAGCCCTCCTGAATTATGATAGTTGGGTGTGTCATTTCACCGACTTGCCCAACCTTGTTTAATTTTTTCTCCATCAGAAATAATCATAGTTGCAAGAGAAAAAGCAAGAGTCATTAAGCTTAAACGTAAGTTCTGTACCCACATATCTGATGTTGGATCTTTGAGTATTTTCTCAAAATACACTCCTGTAACATGACGTTATACTGTAAAAGGTTCGCATTGAAAACCTGCAAATGCGCTCGTCCAACACATAGAGACAACACTCACTATTCCCACAAGTTTGTTTCCTGATGAACCAGATGAGTTCGTGGGAGATTTGTCCATCTGTAATTAGGTTCTCACAGATGCATCATTCACTCATGCCTCACTTGAACCATGACGACACCGATCAAAGAAATGGTCAAAGCAAACCATTGCTTTCTCGATAACATTTTGCCTAGTAGACATACTGAAAGTATGGCAGTTGTCAGTATACGTAGCTGATAAGTAACCTGCAACAATGAAAATATTGTTTGAATTTAAAATAGAGTTGACGTCATATGAAAACTGTTGATCGTAGTGATCAGCCGGTGAAACCGGAAAAGATATTTTTAAAACTGTCAACTTCTGCACTCACACTATATGTGGTTGCATCAATATTGGCAAGAGCGATATAAAACAAATTATTCTGAACAGCGTAGACAAAGGCTGGTATGGAAACCTAAAACATAGAACTGATAAGGGAACGCCTGAAACAAACAGAACCTTAAGTGTTTCCATCTTATTCTGCCATGTGTACCTATATATTTTATGAAAACATCTGAGAATAGAGATAAGAGCTTCAGAAAAACAGCCAATCATACATACTCTTTGAAATTGAAATTACAGTTTTTCAAAATAAGAACGGTACAGGCTGAGCTTTTTATAACTTCCATCATGAACACGCTAGTGGTTGAAAGAAACTTGGAACTCTTAGGTAGATAGGATTACTATGACCCTCTGATTCAATCAAACCTTACTAGCAGACCTAGCCAAGAAAGGCATTCCTGTTTGTTGTGCTGTCAATATCAACATGGACAGAAATTGTAAAGAAGTAAATAATAAATAGACCTGTAACAAAGAAAGGTTGTAAGCATTTCAAACAGAGTGTTAGGGAGTTTCTACCTCTCTGATTGGATCTTTTTGGATTCGAGTCATCAAAATCAGAAGTGGACGCAATGAGAACATTTTGATTTTATTTTAAATTTAAATTTAAAATCAATAAATACTAATAGGGGAATACGCGAATGAAAAGTCGTATTATTAATGATATCCTCACATAAGCGGAGTATAAACCAAATAAGATCATGGTGACACGTGGATATGAGTGAAAGCCAAACACAAAATTCATAATTAGCAAGTGTCTTTTGGATTTTTTATTTTAAAATAAGAAAACAAATGAAAACATACAGATTTGGCAAAGCTGACTTTGTCTCTTTGAATTTCTATTTTAACAGAACGTTTCGCTACATGGTCAACTTTGATATCGTCATGCTGCTTCTCGCTATTCATAATATGTATGCGTATTTGTATATGAGTATGATCTATAAAACTGTAAGATAAACAGAAGAAGCACAAAACGAAAGGTAACTTATGAAATTAGTATGAGAGTATTCCTAAACTTGTCTAATTGGAAGTTTAGACGATAACTGAGTGAGATTTAATCCATGGATTTATTTATATGTAAGTGGATTGAAAACAAAAACCTGTTTGATGAAACATATAAGTTTAAGATTAGAAACTTGAGATATTTACAGAATATAATTGGAATCGGAAACAAAATCAAAAGATAATTTGAATTTTACTGAATTGAGAGCGAGGAGGAGAAGGTGAGATGGTTGATGGGCAATCAATGTAGAACAGTTAGTATCTTCTTATTCATCATCTTTACAGCACTATGATAACAGAACAAATTATTTTTTTTTATCATGAGCACATTCTACAATTGATCTTTTGAGCATAGCAGTATAGTCTTCAATGTATCAATAAATATGAAGCAGCATGACGTTATTCATCTGTTTCCATGGATTCCACATGAACGTATATATAAATTTGAATTTGATATAAAAAAAAAGCATTTTTAGATAGACTTCTGGTCTAACTAGCAAAAAGTAATTGTTATGTTCCATAAGAGTAATTGTCTTCATTCGCCAACCTATATCTAATGGAACATCGTTTGATATCTCATGAGACAGTTTTCGAAAAAAATTGACATCCTTCCTGTTTTTTTCAGATGAATATCATTACAACGAGAGACTTCAAAAATCAAATAGGATTGTTCTTTGTGTGCGGATCATTGTTCTTTCAAAAAATTATATTTTTCTCTCCTCACCTGACATATGGAGAAAGATTCTTGAACTTGTGGTAAATCTCACTCAGCTGTTGGCAACTCTTTTCAATTTGACACATCTAACAAGAAATGGATTTGAAAGACATTGCACTCAAAGTACGACCAGATATCGAATGGCATTTGTTATATTTCTTTATCTTATTTTATGACAAACAAAACATTACATTTGAACTAAATGGGTTAATTAGAATTTACAAATGAATTTTCTTTTACTAATAATAGAATATATTTTTTGAATCGACTTTCTAAAAATCTTTAGCTCAAACCCCATACATCATTCAACTTTCAATATCATTAGTATAAGCAACTTAGGAGATTATTCAAATTTTGGTGAAAAGTTATCATTTTCATTGTCATTCTATTATAGGGGAACCGTCGGTGTCTGCACAACGCAGTTCTTCTGAAGATTTGATATTAAGGTGAGGCGAATACGAACAAACTGTTAGTGAAACAAATTGAAGTTAAGAATGGGGTTCCGATACTTGCTTCTGTTTCTCATATCCTTGTTTGTGATTTCTATATATTCCAATCGAATATCGTTTGGATTCACAGTCATTTGTCAAGAAGAAGAAGTTGCTGCTCTAAATCAGACAAGTTTGATAGTTTTCAAATTGACTGTTCTATTTCTCATTAACAGATCATTACCTCAACGATAAGGTGAACAAAGCATGGATGTTCTCAGCTACAGCCATTGGAATGTGTTTTGGACCTATCCCACTCCACTGGCTTTACAAGGCTAACACTAGGTATTCTATCACTTAATGAAGTATCCTCCACCCAACGCTAACATTTTTTTGTTTTTCATAACGGGAGATTATGTAGATTTCCCCTTCAGTTCTGATATACAACAAACGATTGTAGCATTTTCAAAAAACAAGCGTCATGATTGCTCTCGATGTCCGCTGAAAAGAGGAGAGACAGTTTCAAAATTGTTTAAAAAAATTGTTTCACACAGCTTTTGGAACAACCGCGTTTTCAGAACGCATTCATGAAAATGCGAATGTTATTTGTAATCTTCACGTAAAGTTGAACGAGTATGCAAATTAGTAAAAACAAAGCGTCAAGCCTATTGGGTCCCGAAAGAGTTTGACGAAATTTTGGACAATTTTATTTTTTTCCAGATATATGATTGCATTCTACGGAATTCTATCAGCTGTTGCTTCTGGAATATTCCCGTGGTTCGATTCTATTGGGTTATGGCCTGCTCTGTTCTGTCGTTTCTTAACTGTATATTGAAAATGTTTAATTTCTTCAACAAAAAACTTTGTTCTCAAGGGTTTCTGTCAAGCTACTCAGTTGCACTTTGCAAATGAGTTCGTACTACGCTGGGCTGCCAAGAATGAACAATCTCTATTCTTTTCAATCATTTTGAGTGGATCTCAGGTGATTCGAAAGAATTACTTCTCATTTCAATTTTATAGATGGGTCCTTTGATAACCATGATAGTTGGAGGAGAAACATGCTCAACTTCTTGGTTGGGCTGGAGAGCAACATATTACATTTTGGCTGTTCTAACGGCATTATCTTCTATAGCATATGCCTATATGTATCACGATCATCCCAAAGATAGCCCGTATGATAATCTGCCATCATAACCAAAGTTATCTGCATGTTTTCAGACATTGTTCTGATGAGGAAAAGAAATACGTTACAGATGGAAAAACTATCTCTGCCAAAAAAGTACAGAAATTTAGAAATATAAATAACATATTCAGTATTAGCCCCCTGTGCCCTATAAGTCAGTTCTTCTGGATATAGAAATATGGGCAAGTCTTGTTATGTTCTGTGGATATTACGTTGGAATGATCATTTATCAACAGTACAGTCCAACATTCATTCGTCAGGTACTGAATATATGATAACCAATTCATCGAAAGCTTTGAAGGTTCTGAACTTTTCAATCCGCGAAACAGGCTACTTTGCAGCCATTCCAATGGTGTTCGCCATTATCATCAAAGTTGTTCTCGGAAAACTGATTGGTAATCAAGAAATCTTTTTTGATCATTGTCGTCTTTTCTAAGATTATGGATTTGGTATGTCGCAGAGATGGAGTTTAGGAGTTCCTTTGATTATACTTGAGACTATGAGCGCCTTCGCAATGTTCATGACAGGTTTTGTAAGTTTTGCCTCTTCAGAAGAATCTGAATTGATATCCTACTTCTGTAACTCTATTGGATTATAGGCCGAGGATAGGACAGTTGCTCTCACATTTGACATGCTCTTCGCTGTCTTGCATTTCTTCGTTCCCGTAATTTGTAGTCGAACTATTCAAATCGTATAACGCTTCAAGAATTAATTCCCTCAACAACTAATCTTTAAGGTTGCGGGTGAGCATGCTCATTTCGCTTTGAATCTCAATATGTTCATAGCTGGAGTGATACAGATAGTACTTCCGGGCGGTGTTCATTTGCTGGCGCATGAAAACAGTCGTTCTCAGGTGCCTCTCCATGTGAATAACATACTGATTAAAAATATTTTCAGTGGTCACTTATTTTCTATTTAATTACTGGGTTAATTGTTTTCACAACAACGTTCTATATCTTGGTTACGAGAGCTGTGTTAGCTGATTGGGCACAACCAACTGAGAAGCCCGACATTGAGTTTCCAGAATCAGAGAATGAATCAGAAGACATTCCTCGTACTTCAAAGCAAATTGTTGAAAAATGTTGAAAAATAGCAAAAATTGGTTTTTTTTTTCAAAATAAGACTGAACATATCCATTTTTCATTCGACATTTACTATATACTTCCGAAATTTTAAAAAATAAAAACTTGTTGAAACCGCAATAACCTTGGTTGTTTCTTGAAATTAAGGGATTGCGTGATGATCAAGGGCTGCTACAAATCCTGATTATCATTATGGGACAAAGATAATTGTTGATAAATCTTGTTTATATAATGAAAGTGTGTGAAAGCGTGGAACGACAACACAATCAGCATCTATATAAGGGCATATATGCATAATTAAGTTGTTCATTGCTTCTTTTAAATATGAAGTCTGTGTTACTATCAACTCTTTGTATATTTTTATTTTCTGTTAATGTCAATGCTGAAAGTGTTCATTGGCGTGAGTTTGTTCTTAGAAATTAGATAAAATTAATTCTTTTGAGACGAATTATTTATAGGAATGAAAGTCAAAATTTTGGCTATTTTAGTAAATCATATTATATGTTTGAAAGATGGATTGAACTCCAACCTATGTTTAAGAATGGCGAGAATTGATTTGTAAAGGAACTGAAAATCAAGGAGAAGAGGATGCTACACCTTGTGTGATACAGCTTAAAGAGAATGAGAATGATACTGAGCCTCGTACCGTTCCATTCGATACATGTACAGAGGTTTGATTATCTTTTGATAATCTCTACATCTAGTATATTCCATATAGGAAGAAGTCAACGGCAAAGTTCGTAGTTATTGTAATATTGTTTGTCCAACAGCAGCCACAGCTTATAGGTAAATATATGTTATATTTCCTGATCAACACACAAACATTTCTTAGAACTATAAAATTGAATAATTTATTAATCAAATTGGCATATTCAGAATAACTCGTTATCCCCAAAATCATAAATCATGCTTCTCTCATATTACATATCGATTGGAGAGACGTGATGATCAATTCTACATGTGGAGGGAAGGAAAGTAAGTCTTCTCAGTTCACCTTAATCATCTCTCTTACACTTTCAAGATGTCGTACGAGTGATATCCGATTCACTGTTCGTTGCGAGTTTTCTTCTGCCAGAGCCGATTTCAAAGATGATGATTCTCTATTCGACGAGACCAAGAAGCTCTTGGCCAAGTCATAACTAATCACTCCGAACTAATTTTATTGTTTATTTTTAAATTTGAATAAACCAAAGAAACAACCATAAGATCACTTTTTTTCAGCTGATTTTCATAAACGGCTGTTAGAACTTTGATTGCTAGGCAAGGTGCGGACGCGGGTGTCCAATCCACTAGGATGTGGAGCAAATCCAATTGACAAGAGATACATAAATGCTTTTCTGAAAATAACCAACTTGTTCTTTTCATTAAAACTTTCATTTCTCACCGGTATTCTGGAGATCTCCAGAAATATATGAGAAAGTTTGTTGATGAATTGATGATTACAAGCCAAGCTAGTTGTTGATTTATTAATTGCACGAGTGAGATTGACATAGGCAAGAACTGAAAACACAAGACTAAGTTCATTTCATTCTAATAACCATTTCTCGTGCACTTGATAATCATACTATCATATAGGAAGTGAAATTATTCTAATTTTTGACGTGAATCTACTTTTCACTATTAAGATCAACAAGGTGTTTTCATTTTTCTTTTTTTTGACTTAAGAGACGGTTGCTTTCTACGTAAATTCAATTAAATTCATTTTGGCTCATTTTAGAAGAACGATGAGGAAAGAAAACATTTTCAAACCTAAGAGTCAAAGAATATAATAAAGTCAGTGACACTCAAGAACTCATAATTGATGAAATAAAAAAATGATTTTGAGAATGAATAAATTACCTGAGTGCACATTAGAGCCAGAACGGTCAAAAACCAGGTTGAGAAGTACACTCCGACAACCAGAGATAGAGAATATAGAAGACGTCGAACTCTTACAATACTTGGTTCTTGAGTATATTTTGCTTAAAGAGATTTGTCAGTTTCCATATTCTACCTAGCACAGAGAATCTCTTGCAATAGTTACCTTTCATTCGATGACACATTATGTGAGCTATTCCATAAACAATTATAACTACTACAGCTAAGAAGAAACTTGCTCCAATCCATATGAGTCTCGATTTTGGACTATAAGCTGTGGGAGGCAAACAAATCGGTATAATAGAATCTGTAAAGAAACATTTGATTCTATTGAATGACAGCTGAGAGTATGTAGTACAAACCATTCATATCAAAAAACCCTAATAAGGTTAAAACAGTAGCATATATTATAACGATAATGACCATCAAAATGTAAATGAATGGCGATATCTTTCCATATCTTTAAAAAATAAAATAATTAAAGATTGAGATTAGTAGACAACTTTAATGGAAATGATACAGCCAGAACGCGATCAACGCCTAACACTACTCCCATTCCTGACTGTATATTTAAGAAGAATAACCCATGAATACTTGATAGAAAGCAAAATGAGTTTGGAATCATGTAGTAACCATTAAGCATTAGAACACGTAATTGAACCTTGAAAAAATGAATAAAGATGTAGTGCTGTTGATTCTCTTACCAAATATGCACAGACAATCATGTCAGCACCAGCTAGTATTGCAATACATATTTGGCATCGACTTTGTAGACTTTTGGAGATAACCGCAGACAATACAATGAGCAAGTTCCCAAAAAATCCGAACAACGACAAAGTCAGAGTCGCAAAAGTCATTGGCAATGGCACGAGATGTACCACCGTCCCATTCACTTCCATGTTTAAAACAGTTAATTGACAAGTGAAAAACTTGTAGTAAAGCGCAATCAACACATGTTTGATCGTTTTCCTTCTCGGAAGTCAAGTTTAAACGTTCAGATAATGCTGAAAAGTCAGAAAATGAATAATTTATGTTTTGTGATGAAGTTGATTTTGAATTTCTTCAAAAGAGTGAATTTTTAATCATTGAAATGGGCGAAAAATGAGATAAAATAACAGCCATTCGAAAACCTCTCAACTGTGACGAATCCATGTATAAGCTTATGACTTTGAGAAAGTTCTCATGAAACAGATCGCATAATCATTCTCAAACTTTGGATAAGAATAAAGGAACGCATTGGAAATCACAAAACAGTTACATTTTCCAATTCATCTGGTGACTAACGAAATTGAAATCAAAGAAGAAAATGGAAATTAGCCGTTTCAAATCTATATGAGCATCTCATAAGATTTGGAAGCAAGCGGAACATAGAGTTCTCTCAAGACTGGCCTGGTCTCTAATCTCTCTCAAGTTATGAGAATAGATGAAGGAGTGGAGCATTTCTATGGAATAGTTTAACGTACAGACAGTAGAAGGCAATTCTGCGAAAAAGAATCTGTTGAGCAGAAAACAAAAATCATTTCAAAACAGGAAGCGGAAATGACATCCCTTTAAGAACGAAAAATATTTTATTATGTGATTTGTAATGAAAATGTCTATGCTGATTCCAAAGAATCATTAATTTTTTGATTCTAATATAATTCAGTTTAGTGATAATGTTACTCCGCTTCAAAGGAATTGACGTTAATGAAACAGGAAACAAAGAAATGGATGTACTAAAGAATTCTCAGAGGAAGCACTTCGAGGCTCGCGTCACTCGTATAGAGGGTTCCCCAGAATGAATCGTGGGAGACATAAATTAAAATAATCAGCAAGAAGACACCTGTTCATGACCTAATAGGATATTGCAAGTAAACAACAACTGATATCTGATAAACAAGGACGTAAAACACCGACATGTTTTTCAAAAATCGCCGTCATAAAATGGCAGTGAATGGGAGAAATTCAAGCTTTTCATTTGGTGGGATTTACAACCTCATTTTTTTCTCAAAATTTGAGCAATGGCTTTATCTACTCTGCGATTCCCTTTAATTAGCTGCAGCAGCGAAGTTTCCACATTCATAAACTCACGTGTCCAAATTAATTAAATACATGTCGGTGAGAAAAATGAGATTTTTATACAAAACTACAAGTCATGCTTTTCTAAATCGGCTTGACGCTTCATATCACCCACTTGCAGTAGACAAGAGATACAAAATTAAGCATAGAGCGGAAAAAGAGTGGGAATAGCTTTATGTAACGCAGATATTTCACGTCACATTCTAATTCAAAGCTCACTCTGCTCACGTGGAACTTCTTTTTCAACATTTTGGATGTTCGAACATTTGGTTGCATTACACATTGAATAATTAAGATTTATTTTACTAGTTTATAGTAAACCCGTTTTTAGGTATACAAATATTATAAAAATTATCTACAACATCTCAATACTTCTCTAAGTCGGATGAATTATCTATTCTATACATGTTGAAGAAGGAAAAGCTCTATGGTACATGCTGTTCTAGAATAGGCTTCATCCTCCACGGAACATTGCGAAAATCAGAGGAACTGTTACACCAAGTGCTGTGTATAAGAACACAACTGATAACAGTGTTTGTAATTTCATTTTGGATTCAATGTTTCTTTCTGTTTGTTCTAATAAATGCTCCATCTCACTTCCTACGTAAACCTGAAAATATCACATTACTTCAACAGAGTTCCTTCAAACTTACAACAGCATTGGGATCAGCATCTAAAGCAGCTTCTAAACGAGCTAACCTAGTTAGTTCAGCCATTTGGGATGAAAGCCTAGCGTTCTCTTCCTTGATTGCCCCAAGAACCTGAGCAAAAAAAATTGAATAATTACGGAAATCGCGTTGCAAACTTTTCCCATGTCCTCATCCGATAACAAAACTTTTTTGGGAGCTTCAACATGGAGGGTATCTAGCTTCAGCGCACTTTTCATTTCCTCGATGAAGCCAGTGACCTTCAAAATAGAAATAATATAATGGAAACTTCAAAAACGAGTTACAGTATTGTTCTGTTCGTCAATAACTCGAGCGAGCTCGCCCATCTTGGCACTTCCGATGGGTAAGATTTCGCGGAGTCTTTTCATTCGCAGCTCATTACCTATAGTTGGAAGAATATAGTAAAACAGAAGAAGACTATTGATCAACCTATGGACGTTCCAATTATACCAATCAGAGCACCTATTAGTGAAGCGCTAACAGACCACCATTTGGTTTTTTCAACACGTTCTCTTTCTTTCTCATGACTCTCCCTTACTCTTAAATTAATTTGATGTTTCACGCTTCAAACTAAAACAAAACCTATTCGACAACTTATGAAATGCCTCACGTTCATCGGTTTCTAATTGCTCAAACGACTCCAATAAGGAACGTTCTTGCTTAATCAAAGAATGTTCTTCGGTTATCAAATGAAGATACCTGAAAGAGTAACTTGTTAAGCGTGAAGAAACAGTCAATCGCTTACTTGTCTTCTCCTCTACTAGTTTTATCAAGTTCTAAATGAATATCTTTTATTTTTGACTGAACACTTTTGATTTCAGCTTGCTTTTCCCTCCTTATCATTTGAGCTTCGCTGAGTTTCTCTTCCCACTAGGTAGTCAACTTAGAGAGAGTATGATATAATGAAAGAAACCTGCATCACTCCAGCTTGAGCTTCTTTTACAGCTTTAACTCCAATAAATTCTTCATAAGAATCAACTACTTTCTCAATGGAAGATCTGAAGAAACAAGATAAAGAGTAATTCAAGGCTTAACAGTACCTAATACCCTTGTATTCAGTGTTATTGGTACTTGCTAATCCGGAGGAGCACCGTAAGGAACCCAGATTTGAGGCTCGGATGCGAGATGTGAGAACTCGCAACATATTCTCTCTAAACTCACATATATTAGTATAACAAGTAAATTATCATATTCATAAGTGTATAACTAAGAAGTGGTGTGATTAACAATCACAACTGTTTTTTTTGCATACTGAGTACGCAAGGCAGCCTTACATTTTCTAGGGCACGTCTCTATGTACAAACAAGTTTCGTTAGAAGGTTGAGGGGTTTTCACTGATAATGTCATATGATAAATGTATTTATTCAACACGTTCTTAATATTTAAAGGTTTTCCAATAAGTTTCTTGTAGCCTAGTCTTTCATTTGAGTACATAACTGTTTGAACTCTTTTCTAAAACGCTCGCATTTCTCCTTGAACATCTTGGGAAAACGAAGCTGAAATGGTGTGTACATAGTAGACTTTCAATTATATACGGGAAGAATCACATACGTCTAGATATTCCAAAATTGAAGAAATTGCAAATAGGAACTGACCCTCTTTGAGAATAGATTGAGATCGTTGATCTCTAATCGTTCGAAATATTTTTACAAGCTTCAAATATGTTCACGAGTAATGTGTTGCGAGAGTTCTAACTTACGTCTACTGGTTCTTTGCATTTGAAGAGCTTCTGAAGAACAACATCTATCAGAATCAAAGTACCTGTTCGACCTATACCGGCCGAACAGTGCACAGCTATAGGATCATTTCTAGGAGTGTCAGCCTTTATGAAAATCATTAAACATTGAAAGAAAATCATTCCACCGTTGACATGACTCTCAAGATTCGAAGAACATCCCTACCTTCTAAAGGATTTCCTTTATCGGGCCAATTGGTCACATGGATTAGTTTTACTGAAACAGTCATGTCTACTTAACAGTTTGCTCATTTTACCTAAAGTGCTGTTGGAACACCCTTCCGGTAATACCTCGATTGTATAAACATCAATACCCTCATTGATTCGCTCAAACTGGGAGAAAGAAACGATGAGTCTACCATACCATTATACCTTTTTCGTATGTACAAATATTTTTCCGTAGTTTTGATAGTCACCAGCATTTTCCGGCCAATATTGATGACACTTAACCTTACCATTTTCAACATTCTAAATAAAACTACTTTTGATTACAACTTAGGATCAATTGATTTTATAATACTCGCAGCCCGGTTAGCTCAGTCGGTAGAGCACCAGACTCTTAATCTGGCTGTCGCGGGTTCGAGCCCCGCATCGGGCTTCACATTTTTGC